CGGGGGGGGGGGGCACCTAGCAGATAAACCGATAGCACGATAGCAGATAAGCTAATGCTTCCCTTGATATCTGCCGTTTCTTGTTTTTTTGTTGTTGTTGTATTCTGACAGCTCCTGCCGTCAGAGTAAAAAAAACAAAACAGCATTTAAATGAGTAGCTACAGGTGTAAGCCATTATCATCACAATTATGACAAATCACGGCTTGAACTATCTTACTTTGCATGTAATGAGTCTATCTCATATATTAGTTTCACCTTTTAAGTTGCATTAGTGAAAAAAATGAACTTTTGCACGATATTCTAATTATTCGAGTTTCACTGGTATATTGCTATTGGCTATTTCAATGTGCAATAGCCAATAGCAGGCTGGCTATTGCTCCCGCTCACTGCTGCTGTCAATCAACAGAGGAGGAACTGATGGTTAACTTTAGGTCCACCTCTGCTGATTGACAACAGCAGAAGGCAGGTGCAATAGTCAGACTGCTATTCCAAATTGCACATTGAAATAGCAATATAGCTATTCATTTCAATGATGTTTTTTTTTGTTTTTTTTACTCTGACGGCAGGAGCTGTCAGAATACAAAAAAAAAACAAAACAAGAAACCGCAGATATGAAGGAAAGCATTAGCTTCTCTACCTGCCATCCTTTCAGAGGGGTGCCCCCCCCCCCCCATCTCATTTCAGGGAGGTGCCCTCTTGCAATTGCCAATAGCAATCTAGCTATTTAAATGCTGTCTTTTTTTTTTTTCTTTGACGGCGGCCCAGATTTTAGAATACAAAAACAAAAAAAACAGAAGGTAAAGGTTTGCTCTGCTAAAAAAAAAGAGCAGAGTAAACCTTTCCGGGATAAAATGTTTCTCTCCCGGGAATCCGGGAGAGTTGAGATGCCTGCTTCGTGGGAAAAGTCTGGTCATCCCAACTGCAGCAATGTCAAAGCCAACCCTGCCGCCCAGTAAGCGCTGATTGAACAGCGGTATCAGGAGCATCCCTAAAAATAAAGTCCCTTTTTGAAACTTCAGTGGAAGTGACATTTTGGTACAGCTTCTCCCCACCCCAAGACATGAAGATAGTGGAAGAGAGAGAAAGCAGTCACATTACAATCAACTACAAAAAGTACATGATAACACTTTTACAAAATGCTGTTTGTGCACTACACCTATACACCAATTAGCCATAACATTATGACCACCTGCCTAATATTGAGTAGGACAGCAGCCCTGACCCGCCGAGGCATGGATTCCACTAGACCTCTGAATGTATGTTGTGGTATCTGGCACCAGGCCATCACCATCAGATTCTTTCTTCATGGATTGGACTCGTTTTCCCAGCACATCCCACAAATGCTCTATTGGATTGAGATCTGGAGAATTTGGAGGTCGAGTCAACACCTCAAACTTGTTATGTTCCTTAAACCATTCTTCAACCATTTTTGCAGTGTGGCAGGGAGCATTATCCTGCTGAAAGAGTAACACCCACATGAATGGCAGGACCCAAGGATTCCCACAGAACATTGCCCAATTTCACACTGTCTCTGCTGGCTTATGTTCATCCCATAGTGCATCCTGGTGTCATCTCTTCCCCAGTTAAGGGAAGCACACTCACCCGGCCATCCAAATGAAAAAGAAAATGCGATTCGTCAGACCAGGCCACCTTCTTCCATAGCTCTGTGGTGTAGTTCTGATGCTCATTTGCCCATTGTAGGCACTTTTGGCAGTGGACAGAAGTCAGCATGGGCTGCCCCATATACAACAAACTGAAATGTATTGTGTGTTCAGACACCTTTCTATTGGAGCTAGCATCAACTTTTTCAGCAATTTGAGGTACAGTAGCTCTTCAAGTGGATTGGACTATGGAGGCCAGTCTTCACTCCCCACATTCATCAATGAGCCATGGCCTCCCAGGACCTTGTCACTGGTTCACCGGTTTTCCTTCCTTGGACCGCTTTTGGTAGGTCCTGACCACTGCAGACCAGGAACATCTCACGTGAGCTGCAGTTTTATAGTTACTCTGATCCAGTTGTCTAGCCTTCACAATTTGGCCCTTGCCAAATCCTTATCCTGGCTCATTTTTCTGCTTCCAACACATCGATTTCAGGGACAAAATGTTCACTGGCTGCCTAATATATCCCAATTTCAGGTACCATTGTAAAGAGATAATCAATGTTGTTCACTTCACCTGTCAGTGGTCATAATGTTATTGCTGATCAGTGTATGTCTACCTCGTAGACTTGGACATTAGCTTTAGTTTACAGTTTTGAAAGGTAACAGACATTATCACCCTTCTGAAAAGCAATACACTATGGATTGTGTTTCAGAGGTGATTGAACAGCAGCTTGCTGGTGTTCAGAGGTGATACTGCCGCCTCCCAAAATACTTTTTTTCTATCCTAAGGGGGATTCTATATTGAAATACTGTGGCGCAAATGCATGCTAAGTGTTTGGCATGTGGTGAAGGCATGGTAACATTGGCTTTAATAGGTACATTTGGAAAGCAGTACGAACCCATCTGCTCACCACGTCAATGTGTATGTAGGCGTTCAGGCAGGGACTGGCGGTCAGGTGAGGCAGAGTCTCACCTAGAATTATGGCGGAAAAAGCTGTCAGCTTTTTCTCCATTCAGATCGGCATCTAACAGGTTACACTGCAGGGAAAGCCTCCCCGCTGTTTAACCTGTCATGGGCGGAGCACCTCAGCAATGAGGAGCAAGTGAGGGACAGGGAGACTCCTCCCTGTCTCCTTCACACTAGCTTGGGGACGGCTTGGGGCGGGGCTTCGACCCAGCGGGGACGGGGCTTCGCCCGTCGGGGTTGGACTTAGACCGAAAGGGCAGGGCTTCGGCCGGTAGGGGTGGGGCAGGACGTGCTGGGGGCGAGGCTAGGAAATGCCTCACCCGCAGCAAGAGGTACCGCACGTCACTGCGTTCAGGGGGTGGTAAAAATGCAGATCAACTTCCTGTTTATACCGCCTCTCTGCCACCCATGTGACTTTATTACCTCTCAGAGAGATCACAATGGTACCCATTATAATGCCTTCATCTGATTTTCTCTCCAGACGTTTGGTGCCATCTTTGTTCAGAAATCATCTAGGGTCACCATCTATTTCCTGCACTAAAATACTGGTTTGTAGATGATTAATACTTTAAACTCTGGTGCCTGCGTCTGGGTCAGTGTTAAAAGTAAGTAGTATTATATGAAATTTCTATATTTTTACTGACGAATGTCCATTTTACAGCTTGTATGTTAGTAAGTATTCAATATTACTTACTTAAGTTTTTTGGAACTCTTCTCAGTCAATGGAATGTGTAGTATGATAGGATAGATGCCCACACGAATCAAAGCAGAGAGACAGGATAGCCCAAGCTCTAGAAGGCAGTGTGCATTCTGTAGTATAATACAAGGGACAGAAAGGTTCAGGTAAAATGTTTTATTACATTGCGTTTCCCATAGACAAATTCCACACAAAATATTTAGAAAATAATTTTAGCTTTCTTGCATCAGTCACTAATATTGAATTTTTCTGAATCACACACATTTCCTCACCCACTCCATTTTATTCCACAATACAGTAGTTATGGAGCCTAGGAAGGGTTTGCTCCTACTGTAGTTATTGTTATGGTGGCCACACACATCAATTTTAGATCAATTTGTTTTCTGATCTCAGCTGATAAGAGTAATCGATCTATAGTTGGCTACAAATTCGAATGATATGACTAAACTGTGAATCCAAAGTAAAAGCTTCATGTAATGCCCACAGCCAAAGTTTTTAGGTGGAATCTTAAAGCTGAACTTCAGGCGCCAATGTTTTTCAGCCAATATAATGGTGAAGTGGCATGTCTATAAACTGGAAACTAGAAAAAACACTAAAAAACAACTAGTCAGGACACTATCTGCATGGAGTTTGCATATTCTCCCTGTGCTTGTATAGATTTCCCCCGACACTCCAAAGACATGCTGGTAGGTTGATTGACTTCTGTTTAAAACATCCCTAGTATGTATATATGTATGTATGTGACCTAAGTTTGTAAGCTCCTTGATGGCAGGAACTGATGTGAATGTGTGGTATGTTAAGCACTGTGCAAATTGTCAGTGCTATATAAATACTAGGGATGCACCGATACCGCTACTAGTATTGGTACCGATGCCGAGTATTTGGGCGAGTACTTGTGCCCAAATGCTCCGATGCCTGGCACGATACTTATGCTTCCGGTAACAGGAAGCTGGGCAATGTGTAATTACACGGCGCCCGGCTTCCTGATTGTCCAGAAAGCCGGCTCCATGCTGTCTTATCACCAGGTGACAAGGGAGCATAGAAACGGCTTCCCGGTCAATTGGGAAGCCGGGCAGCGCATCATTACACGCCCCCCAGCTTTCTGATTGGCCAGAAAGTCGGCTTCATACTCCCTCGTCACCTGGTGATGAGGTAGCATTGAGCTGGCTTCCCGACTAATCAGGAAGCCGGGTGCCATATAATCATGCATTGCCCGGCTTCCTGGTTGGCCAGATTCTCGACCAATCAGGGATCCGGGCAACGCGTCATTTCACGGCGCCCGACTTCCTGATTGGCCAGAAAGCCGTCACCATCCTGTCTCATCACCTGGTGACAAGTGAGCATGGAGATGGCTTCCCTGCTAATCAGGAAGCCGGGTGGCAAGTCTTTACAAGCCGCCCGGCTTCCAGACTAAATCAGGAAGCCAGGTGGTGAGTCATTACACACCGCCTGGCTTCCTTAATGGGACTTTCAGTATTGGCGAGTGCCAAAAAAAAAAATCTGTACAAGATACCGAAAAAACGGTATCGGTGCATCCCTAATAAATACCAATGATAAATACATATACAGTATATTACCTGCTTGTTTCTTGTTGTCAAGTTGTAGGAAAGGCCTGTAGTTCATTACTACCTGCTTCTCATTCCTGTATGAACTGTCGTCTTGAAGATGAAGCGCTCCATACATAAAATTCTAGATTTGTCCCTCCCAGAGACACCCCCGACATGACACTTTAGAAGGATGAATTTCTCTTGCATGGAGACTGAGAATACAGGAGCCGATATGCCCAACAACCTCCTACTTGAGTGAAGCTGTGTCTGCCCACATAATTTCACAAGTCCTAGGTCTGCTGGGATATTCACCAGTGTCATAGACCGATGATAAGGAGATCCTCCCCCCTCCTAGCATCAGTTAAAAATGATTATGGGAGCTGCAGTCTTTTTAATGGAATGATTACCATTAAGGTAAACTATGAAATTGGATACATTTCTGTGGGAAAACAGGGGCTTAATGTACATTGCAAGCTTTAAAACGAGTCTGGAATTCAGCTTTAAAATCCAGTCAATATACTTGACTGGATTTTCTAAGAGATATGACAAATCATTGGTTTTTTTTAACTTGACTGCATCCATTCAAAACTGAATTTCAAATATAATTTTTAGTGGACACCCTCCAAAACCTTCTGAATTCTTACCTGTTGTGCTACAGATTCCACATTCTGTCTAGTATACCAGCAGCGTGTGCCTTCTCCTTCCTTTTCGCCAATTATGTCTCCACGCTGATTTCTTGCTGCATATTCAGCATCTGTCAAACATTCTAGAAGGGGTGGTTTCATTAAGAATACATATCAAAGTAAATAAGCAAAAGCAGCAGAGGAACACCATAAGTGGAGGAGGTGGGAGCAGGCTACCCAGGTGTCAGCAAAAACACTGTATTGACATAACTTGGCTCATTCATCATGACTGTGAAATCCATTGGCACGGTCCTGAACAGAAAAACTTCCCTCGAAATGTATTATTCCTTCATGGAAGCAATAACTAACATCAGTGATGCAGCAGTCATTGACCACCATTGCTCTGACTACCACCAATATAGGGGCCATTCTACTTTCCACTGATAACCAATCAAAGAGGGCATTCTACCTTTCACTGACTACCTGTGAGGAAACCAGAACCAGAGTTCCGGCACGACGATCTGCGCATGCGCCCAGTTTTGCTCATAGAGCTTTGCTGGGTTGTACGTCTTTCCACAGACGTGTGCGTGCATTAGCGTGTGCGCAGGGACATGTGTAATCCAGTGCTGTGTGATTGTCAGCTATACCAATGTTTCTGAGTTCCTGATCTGATACCCCATTACTGACTCGGTTTGTCTTGACCTCTCGCTGCTCTTCTGTGTTCATGAGACCCTGACTTGTTTCTGACCATCACTTCTGCCTGATGCCTTGTACTGCACTGCCCGTACATTGCTGACTTTAGTTTGCTCCTGACTTCATGCCTGCTACCTCGCTGTCGGCCTGCCACAACCACGTATTTCCTGAGACCCGGTACTTGGAGTGTTTCTCTTTTGTGACAGCACCATGCCCAGGGTCTACCAGCATCAGAGAGAGTGCTTACCTGGTTGAGTCATCTTCATCCAGCACTCCTGTTTCTTGTGAATTCAGACTCCCTAGAGGTATGTGACACCACCAATCAAAGGGGCCATTTTATCTTCCACTGACAACTAAATCAAAGGGATGTTCTTTCTTCCAATGACCAGCAATGTAAGGGGGAATTCTTCCCACTGAGCCCTAATGTGAGAGGGATTCTTTCTTCCACTGAAGACCAATGTAAGAGGACATTCTTCTGCCCATTGACTACGGTGAAAGCAAGGCTAATATCTTTACACCACTCGTTGTCTAATGACTATCAATGTAAGATGGCAATTATAATTAATACAATCGCTGCAGCGCCTACTATTGAACTACCCATATGTGAACCTCAGGGGCTGATGTATAAATGCATCACCCAGCGTACAGCTGGGCAAATGCCGTTTAAAAGGCATTACAGGCACTAGATGGCGCTAAAGAGCATAGGCAATTCCTATGCTCTTCAATATTCATGTAGCGGCTGTAATGGGAAAAGCGTTCTCCTATCTATACTCTGAGCGAAGCCTTTAGAGATCAGTCCCTAAGCCCTCGTTCACACCTGACCGTTTTGTAGCGCGTTCTACGCTCGACGAACACTCTACAAAACGGTCAAAAATATAAATTGCATTGTAGTCAATGGTCTCGTTCCCACCTTGCCGTATTTCCGCCCGTCCCTAACGCCCTACAAAACGGCCCACGCCTGAAAAGGTCCAGGTACTACTTTGGGCCGTTTTGTAGGGCGTTTTCCATTGGGATACAGCCAAGTAGCCTTCGGAATCGCACCACTTTTTTACCGCGAATCGCGGTAAAAAACCCGCGCGACGGTCGCGCATATGCAATACACCTAGGTGTGAACGAGGGCTAAGTGTCCACTTATCCTGTACAATATCCTACTACAATGTCCTACAACAATATCAAGGTCTTTAAATCATAGGCTGTAGAGCAATCGGCTTCAGCCTGTCTTCCCCATACAAAAAGTGCTGTAATATAAAGTGCTAGTGTGTGCTTATTTTTCACTTGTTCATGCTTGCTCTTGAAGAAAACACCATAAATGTGCACAGGCCATAGCCACTCACTAATTACCTCCCCACTACGGAAAGGTTTGTAGCTTGCAGGATTGGTCATTTCCTCCATGACCAACTCCCCATTGCAGAGGGATTGCGATCATCAATATATTTTTCTTTTTTTTTTTTTAAATACTTTGATCCTCCTCTCCCATGTGGTAAAAAGATGCAGAATAAAATGCTAATAGTATAATTTCATTGATTTAAAATATTTAAATGATAAAAACAGTCACAATCACATGGACCAAGGGCTCGACAGCATTATAAATGATTGCTGTGTCAATTCTAACCTGAATAAATAAACTCCCACCTGACTATTTTCACAAACACTGATATTATATACTGTAGTGCTGTTGAGCACTTGGTTCATTATTTAATCCTTTCATATCTTACATATTTTAAAGGAATAGAATTACACCATCAGGATATGTTCACACTAGCCTGTCCACTGAAAGCATTTCAGCGGATCGGCTAGTGCGTTGTGACAGCCCCAGTAGTGTTCATTGTATCGCACACTGCTGGAGCTGTTAGGCCTTGTTCACACCAAGCGCGGAGCAGATCCGGACCAGAACAGGTGCAGACCGGATCAAAACTGCGTCCAATGTATTCCTATGGTATTTTGACCTCCAGTTCACAACGCAGCGTGCGGATCCAGACCAGATCCAGACCGGATTAAAAAAATGCGGCAAGCCCTATTTTACCTGCTCTGGATCTGGTCTGGAACGCATCAAAAACGCATCTAAAATGCAAAAACGCATGCAAGTGTCTGAAAGCCCATGTTAAACTTAAAAAAAAAAAAGTTTTATACCAAAACCGTCCCTAAACGCATCCAAAACGCGTCTAAAACGCAGCACAACCCACTACACTGCGTGTGCAGAAACCTGACCGGATCTGGTCTGCATTTGGTGTGAACAAGGCCTTACGGTTTACATATTTTTTTAAGCTTTAGGTGGAATGTACCAGATGTACACGCCATTTAGGTCCCTGCATGGCAGCATTGTGCGATTTTGCTGCCATGTGGCAAACTGTAGTGGCATACAGTGCGCTGAGATAAAATGCAGCAGCATGTTTACATTTTATCACAGCATGCATTGTAGTATGAATGGGACACACAGAAAACAATTGTTTTCTATCACATCAACCTGTGTTGATCCGGTACAGTACAATACAGGTAACCACTAGATGTGTGAACAGGCCCTAAGCATTTCACATGTAGGTAGTTCGCTAAGAGCACTGCAGAGATTTTATTAAGGGAGAACTATGGGGTTAAGGCTTTTCCCCATAGTTCTCCTTAGGGTAACGGGAGGACACAAACTAGCGTCCACCCGTCACCCTAGGCTCAGTATACCGCGAGCTGTAGCTGTGTTCGCTCACTTCCCGATCTACTGAGCCGATCTGTGACAGTCTCATTGTCACAGGTCGGCTAGAACTATGAGGTGAGTGAAAAGCACTCACCTCATAGTTCTCCTTTAAGTATATTTACAAAAGTGATTTAAATGAGAACTATGGGGCAACTTTTTTGCCATAGTTCTCCTCAGGGTCAAGGGGGGACATATACTGCCTGCATGCCTGCTATATGCTGAGAGCACAGGGCTGCTCCACAGCCAGGAAGGATCCCGACAATACTGTCGAGATCTACCCCGCTGGCTGATTGACTCTCTAGAGGCAGAGCCAGGTGTGCCCACTGCCTCCCTCATTCGTTTTTCCAATCAGCACTAGAGAAACAGAGAGGGGGGAATCCCTGCGGGATCTACGGGGAGAGGATCGGGAAGTCAGTGATCAGCAATATGTGTTCCCTGACTTCCCGATCAATAGAGCCGACTTGTGACAGCTTCTTCTTTGTCACAGGTCGGCTTGAATTATGGGGATAAGTGTTTTTCACTCACCCAATAATTCTCCTTTAAACTTTTACTAATTGCAGCAGCAATTTGTTAGGTGTTTCTATAATCTAAAATAGCACTTCAGATAATTCTCATTTATATTTCAATCTAAGTGGCAAGTTTACACTGGTGGTCAGTGGTAGAGGCACTTCTTCATTAACACTAATTTAAGAAGTCCCTGATCACCAATATAAGGTATTTTTTTTCTACTGACCACCAATATAAGGGGGCACTTTACAGCTAATGTAAGAAGGGCCATTACACTGACCACCTATGTAACATACAGTATATATTTACACTTACTAATGTAAAAGGGGTTTTTTAGTGACCACCCCTGTAATTAATTTGTGGGTCCTGTCCTTTTCAATTATCACCAAACTTCCCAGGACTTTTATTAGGGGACTGTCCAAGTATCAGTGTAAAAGGGCTTAGCATTCGTAACTATTACTGGAAATAATGTTGTTGTTTATAGTAGGGAGTGTCCTGGGTAGGGATGTCTCGATAACAGTACTAGCATCGGTATCGTGACCGATACAAGGCATTTTGACAAGTACTTGTCAAAATGCCCCGATACATAGCGCCGAAGCTTGCGCTATTTCCCCCCCCCCCTTACCTTACGGCTGCCGTTCGGGAGAGCAGCGGCGAGTCAGCGCTGGTCCGATGGGAGGAGCTCCAAGTGGGGGACCTAATTTAGCTGGCCGGCAACCGTGCAGTCGCCGGCCAGCTAAATTAGGACCCCACCTGGAGCTCCTCCCACCGGACCAGCGCTGATTTGCTGCTGCTCTCCCGCACAGTGCCAACTACGACCTCACCAGCGAGGCACATCGTGAGGCACCGGCCATCATCGAGCAGTGAGTGAGGGCAAGGGGGGTCCCTATTAAGAAACTATTAATAATAGCAGAGGATAATTGTAAATCTATTGTCTGCAGTGTGTGCTCTATATGTGCTACATATAGAATACACTGCAGACAATAGATTTACAATTATCCCCTGCTAATATGAATGTATTAAATAATCCATAGTACATAACATGTACACATGTAGTTGTATTATGGATCGATTAACCCGTTCATGTTAGCATGGGAGAATTGTAACTCTATTACTGCAGTGTATTCTATATGTAGTACATATATACAGAACATATTCCCAATACGCTGCAGTAATAGATTTACAATTATTAATAGGTTAAATGATCCATAGTACAACTACATGTTATGTACTATGGATCATTTAACCCATTCATGTTAGCCGGGGATAATTGTAAATCTATTGCTGCAGTGTACTCTATATGTAGTATATAGTACATGTATGTTACACACGTCCAGTACACTGCATCAATAGATTTTCCTTACCTTACGGCTGCTGTTCGGGAGAGCAGCGGCGAGTCAGCGCTGGTCCGATGGGAGGAGCTCCAAGTGGGGGACCTAATTTAGCTGGCCGGCAACCGTGCAGTCGCCGGCCAGCTAAATTAGGACCCCACCTGGAGCTCCTCCCACCGGACCAGCGCTGATTTGCTGCTGCTCTCCCGCACAGTGCCAACTACGACCTCACCAGCGAGGCACATCGTGAGGCACCGGCCATCATCGAGCAGTGAGTGAGGGCAAGGGGGGTCCCTATTAAGAAACTATTAATAATAGCAGAGGATAATTGTAAATCTATTGTCTGCAGTGTGTGCTCTATATGTGCTACATATAGAATACACTGCAGACAATAGATTTACAATTATCCCCTGCTAATATGAATGTATTAAATAATCCATAGTACATAACATGTACACATGTAGTTGTATTATGGATCGATTAACCCGTTCATGTTAGCATGGGAGAATTGTAACTCTATTACTGCAGTGTATTCTATATGTAGTACATATATACAGAACATATTCCCAATACGCTGCAGTAATAGATTTACAATTATTAATAGGTTAAATGATCCATAGTACAACTACATGTTATGTACTATGGATCATTTAACCCATTCATGTTAGCCGGGGATAATTGTAAATCTATTGCTGCAGTGTACTCTATATGTAGTATATAGTACATGTATGTTACACACGTCCAGTACACTGCATCAATAGATTTACAATTTTCCCCTGCTAATATGAATAGGTTAAAAGATCCATAGTACACAATAGTACAATATGTACTACGGATCATTTAACCCTATCACAAGTGCTAACCCCCACACATGAATGGATCGGTAATTTACTTTTGGTATTGGGGATTGAGGATCCAACAATCGGAGTCCCACCACGGTCATAACTCCTGGATGTATAATATAAGCTACTATTCTGGTTGACTCTCTATATCCTCTGAACCTGTTGTCTGTTTTAAATTTTGGGGGTCTTTTTATGAATCATGACTTTTATGTATTTATGCATGATCAATAAATTTGTTACATTTTACCTATGACAAGGTTGCACACCTCTTTAAAACCCGTGGTTCCTTTGCTTCTTTTGTGTCAATTAGGGGGTGAGCTGATCTCAGGGCACCGGTGTCAGGTCAACTCATGATCTTTTGCAATTTCACCTGTCCCTTTTAAAAAAAAAACAAGTATCGGTAATTGGTATTGGCAAGTACATGAGGGGAAATACTTGTACTTGGTCTTGGAAAAAGTGGTATCGGAACATCCCTAGTCCTGGGTATCACATACGTTAGGTACGCTTTTTATAGTCCATTTAGCTTCAGAATTGTAAGAAATGTGGGCATCATTCAGGTTACAGTAAACATTGCTGAGAGCATGATAAATATACCTGTGTCACACTTCATGTAGTCTTTACTTGCACATAGTTTCTCACTCAGGATTCTTCGTAGCAAAGAAGGGACTAGGAGAACTGGACGTAGGGCTGTAATCTTATGGTTAGTGACCAGCGTGTAAGGCATCAGTGTCAAGCATCCTCTGCTCGTTGGGTAGTTGGCGGTGGGATCTACATCAGAAGTATGAAATAAGCACAGTGCATTTTTAAAATATTTTAAAAATGTACATATGGCATTGCGCTTTCCTTAAATCTAGTAATTTTATATAGAATATTTGTTTAAGCTCATGACTGTATTTAAAGTGACATTAAAGTAAAACATTTTTTCCCCTCAGCCCATGTTATGTTAGCACTTACCTTAAATGATGCCTCTTAATCCGATCTTCTTCTTTCCTGATGTTTTCATCTGTCCCTCCAGCGGTGCGGCGGCTCTCCGATCCGGCGCTGACTCCTCTGTCCCTGCAGGCACTTCCGATCCCGCTGTGTCTGCATGCGGGTGCATGCTTCCATAGACTTACCATGCGTCTCTGCTTGTCCGAACTGCGCATGCGCCCGCCCCAAGATGCTTTGCGGCCGCCCGAGCAGTTTGGGATTCTCGGGCGGGAGCGCGTGGCGATAACGACTGAAGGTGAAATCGCTTGTTAGCAGTAGATATAGGCAAAAAAACAGAGGATTTAGAACCCCTTTAAATATGCCATTGTGGTAACCATACACAACTCTGCCTTTTTTTTACAAATACTTTTTTGTGTGTTGACTATAACTTTCAAATTGAATGTTGATAATAAAGAATAATTCACGTAGAGTTAACTCTTGGACTACGAACCTGGGCAGGATGCAATCTGTCAGAGTGCAGAAGAATAGTTGTCTGTCCATGTTTAATATTACATTGCATTAAATGACTTTCTAATGGTGGACTTTTTTATGGATGGTGCTCTTAGTTGTTATACATTATGCATAAATGTAGGTGGTGTTTCCAGAGGGAGGCATCACACAATACTGCTGGTGCTGGCAGGCCAGGACATATACAGCAGAGACAGGCAGCACACATTACACTGGTGTCTGAAGCTCAAGACACACAAAGAAGAGGGAGACAGCACACAATATACTGGTGTCTGCAGGCCAGGACACACAGGGCAGAGGGAGACAGCACACATTACGGTGGTGTTGGCAGCCCAGGACACACATGGTAGAGGGAGGCAGCACACATTATGCTTGTGTTGGCAGCCCATGACTTGCATACATGCAGATGAGAGCTAACTGGGAGTGAGAGAACCCTCAGACATTGGACACTGAGCAAAGATTGGCCAATAGATGAGCTCCTTCCTGTCACATGGGGTGTGGGCATTGCAGAGGGAGGAGGTATCACTGTACACAACAAAGCTGAACGTGGTGACACACACAGCAGTAAAAAGTTGAAGCACACACTTATTTTAGGCATTTAGGCAGGAAGTACCTAAATGCCTAAAATAAGGAGAGCATTTATTTGAAAGAAAAAAAGTGGTATCTGTTCTGCTGATAAAAAGAAGTTTCAGACACCGAGACCTCTAGTCTAGTCTAGTGTGTTTATATCTTCTCTTCCTGCGGTAGCCACCATTAGAGGGAGATAACAGTACGACAGAGAAACTTTTCATTTATACCACTACAAAGTCATACATTTTCCTGATCTATCCTTTAGCTCCCTCTAGCAGTGGCCAAGAGCAGTTGCTGCAGGAAAAGACATATGTTGGAACTTCTTGCACAGCCTCACAGAGAAACACAAGCACACAGTCTGATATGCATGCTGCACATGGCTTGCCTTGGTAAACAGGAAGGAAGCCACAGCTTTTATTTTCTACCTTATTGAATACAACAGAGTACATACCATAGATAACAGAACTTATAAACACTGCCATCTCGTGACCGAAAATATATACTGCAGGAGTTGTTGCTATAAACACAGTAATGTATATTCTAACAACATAATGCAGCTTCTGAGCTGTTGGTGTCTGAAAATCCTGTTATCATCAAAATATGTAGCCCTGCAACTGATTCGTTTTAAGCAGATGGCTGCATAGACAAGTGATAATGTGTTAAAAGTACATTTATCCTTTAATAATCTAGATTCTGGAAGGCCCACTGCATGCCATCATTGATTGTTTGGTGCACCTATATGCATCGTAGAAATCAATGGCACTGTGGTTGTTAGGACACATCCGGAGGTGCGGTGGATGGACAAACCAGCCAAATCGTTCGATCATTCTGCAAAATGCAAACAACTTGGGTTGAGGTCAACCGCATGGTCAACCCAAACCTGAAGATAATCCCTAATAAGAACCTAACAACTTAAAAGCGGTTAAACAAGTTTTGGGCGGAATTACTATATAACAGGGGTCAAAACATATCAGATAATTTAATATTTACCTTCACAACAGCAAATGCCACAGTCTTGAGAAGTCCAGAGCAAATGAGAGCTACATCGGTCTGTGCTGACTATGCGAACTTCCTTTCTTGGCTGTAAAGAAGAAATGCAGATGTAAAGTGGGAGCTTTGGAGTATGTGGGACACGGTAGAGGTTTCCCTACATCTGTAGCAAAGTGTTACATCTAACATAATCACTTTTGTTACATGCATGGTCCCTAAAAATGAATGCCGGCTTCTTAAAGTGTATTTCTTGCAGTCAAATGTGAGAAAACCCATTTACACAGCATAACTAAAAAAAATATTTCTTGCCTTTCTACCTGTTTTTTTGGAACAGGCATAGACAGACTGCAATCTACTCTTTAACAGTTCAAAAGCGAAAGTGGAGACGCACACAGTGGGGACAGATTTGGTTTCTTCTCATGAGCATACAATGCAGAACACAAACCCTGAGATCTTTACTATTTGTTAGGACAGACAATGTACAAATCTAGCTTACAACTTATAATTGAGATCTCCTTAACATTACATAGAAGGGGAAAATTTCAGTTTTTGAGTTTTCAGAAAAGAACTAGTAAAATGTAACTTTTAAGTTAATATATCTGAATAGGAACATACAACGAATATAAAGTAGTCCCAATTCGTGGAAATATACTTTAAAGCTGGACCGCAGGTAGATATTGCAGAAACCTGAAAGGAGCTTTTTTTCTGTGAAAGTAATACAGCCACTATAAATTTATTTTAAAATAAATCTAACTTAATTACAAGTATCTGCCTTGTTATCAGCTTCCTGTAATCTCCTGCACCCTTTACACCCAGCAGAGTCACACCCCACCCCACCCTTATATCCAGGAGGGCCCAGCAGAGCCCCACAGTACATCCAGGAGTGCCCAGTGGAGTTCTTCCTCTTACATCCACGAGATCCCAGCAAAGTCCCCTCTTACATCCATGTGAGCTTGACGGAGTCCCTCTTTACACCCTTGAGTGCCCAGCAGCGGAGGGATCTATCCCGGGGAAGGGTCACGGCTGGCTGTAGATGCAACTGTGTCCATATTATGATACACAGAGTGGCCCACCCACTGTTAGCCACCCGGGGTTGCTGTGGGCCGGATGTGGTGTGCGAGCCGTAGTTTAGATACCCCTGGTCTATAACAACAGTTTAGTTTAGGTCTTACACAAAGAGGACAGCAAGGATGGTTGTGCACTTGTTCTTTGTTTCACATTCTGAGTGTTACGGGAACCCTGAGTATTTCCCCAAAATCCACAATTGCCATTGCATTTACTATATTCTTGGAGATCCCAGCAATTATTTATTTTTCCTGCAATAGCCTTTCAAATATTCAATTCAAAAACTTTGTAACCAGGTTTCAGCACTTACAGTACAATGTACAAAGACACTAGATCTTTTTAAATGCTGCCTTTCCTAAATGAGGGGGGAACAGTCAATTTGGTGCTAATACCCCCTAACACCAGACAATCAATTTACTTCTATCCTCTTCTTCCCAACTCCATATTTCTACCTATTCTATCTATTCTATCTATTTCTATACCATATTTCTCTTTCCTTTCACAGAAAAAGGAGACACAGAGAAGACCAGGATCTCAGCAGTAAAAAAACCCAGATAATTCCCAGTGAGAGTGGAATCAAGTTGTGGTTACTATAAATTGTGCTATTGATTGGTTCTGTATATTATTGAACTGACTTCAGCATGTCATGCTATAAATTGACAAAACCACATTTACTCACCCTTCGAGGGATTGTATTTTGCCATGTCATGCTCTGTATGGATGTTATTAACTGTTGCTGGGCTCTGTGAGAAAGCACAAAGTTGTACAAGTCAGTGTTTTAAAATGTATGCACATTGCTTAAAGTTTATGTAACGCCAAAACTATTTTTCAGGTTTATATAGAATTTGGACAGGTTAGAACCCCAGTCGGGTTTTTATAGTTGTCTGTGTTTCTGCGGGAGGGATTCACCCTTTCTATTAGTCCCGGTGGCTTTTGTCTCCAATTAACAGAGTGATGGGAAATTCAATATTTTTAAGTTGTCACAGTAATGGGGTAAAGATAAATCTTCCAATGGGGAAACCTGTTGTGATGACAACTAAGAGGGCATTTCCCCTAAGTTTGGAGAGGAACACAGAAAAATGGCAGGGGTTTTAACCCTTCCCTACTCCTTCTAAAACTAAAAAAATGTTTTGGCTTATATACATTCACATTTTCTGATACAATTAGAGTGACTGAGATGACCAAAATGTTAATGCATTATTTATGAATATTTTATATATCTGATCAACATGTCTCTGCCCGACACATGTAATATTCCAAAACAATTTTAGAGTTTTCTTAGCTATTTTTTATTTATTTATGATTACTGGAGCAGATAAGCTGTCACGGGATGTACAGTATCTTCACAAAGAAACAAAAAGGGGTGAATTTACTAAAGGAGTAGAGAATGTTAACTTTGAAAAGGAATTTTCCATTAGCTTAGTGAATGTGTTAAACATTCACTTTGCAAAGAATACCCAATCATATGTAAGGTAAACGTTTTAAAAAGTGTTTTTGCTTGCACATGATTGGATGATGGAAGTCAGCAGAGCTTCACCTCATTCACTAAGCTGAGAGAAAATATCCTGGCAAAGTGAAAATTAACTTGATTAAAGTTTGAACCGTAAAGCTTTGTAAACATACGTTCTGTACTAATGGAGGCAAAAACAAAGTTCTTTTCTTTTCAGGGCAAATGTAAATTAATTTATTAATGCATTATGACTACTAGATGGAGCAGAGGAGTATATAAAATAAGTATTTCTTTACAATGCTCCTCATAAAGTGCCTCTTTCATTTCTTGAGGTACCGCTGCCAAACATCTTTGCATTCTACCTTTTTAAGGAGAGAAGGCATGCCCATATCTCCACCAAATGACAGGACTTTGTACTTAAGATGTTTATTGCCAGGCCCAAGAAGTTTCCAATGAGTGGTTGTGGGTACATCAAAGGAAGCTGCATGAAGTGTATTTCATTGGCAGGATCAACTAGTAAATTTGAGGATTCGTAGTGAGACTGAGTGAAAACTTTAGATGCAGATGCACTTACAGTTAAAGTGACATTAAACCCTCAGATTTTTTAACATAAACCAATACTGTAATGTGTGCCTTACTGTAATCCATGGTAGTTTCCCTTCTCTTTGCTGCTCTTGCTTTTAAATCCTCATGTCTTCTCATGCTTGGGGAGAACTTCCCTTTTCAGCTCAGGGCCTCTTCCTGTAGTGCTGGCTCAGGTTACAAGCCTATACAAACCTATACACAGACACCGTGTATCCATTCCTGAGACAAGGCAGTCTGCTGCAAAACAGAAGTTCTGCAGAGCATGAGAACAGATACAGATTTAAAAGGAAGAGCAGCAAAGAGAAGGGAAACTACCATGGATTACAGTAAGGCACACATTACGGTATTGTTTTATGTTAAAAAAATCTGAGGGTTTAATGTCACTTTAAGTGCTGCAGTACATATTACTGTTTGCAGGGAGCCCATATTGCCACTGCTTATAGGAAATAATGTGGGTTGAAGTGACTCCAGGAGGACATGGAACAATCTGGCACCTTATTGTTCTGACTATTTAGGGGTCAGTTTAATAGTGTTAGTAAAAGGAAATGTTTATTTTATTGACAGAAACTGTAAGAATCAAAAATACTAGAACAGTAAAAACAATTCACATTGAATGATTTTACTTAGCACATATTAAACAGGCACAGACAGAAAATGTAAATGTTATGCAATGACTTACTGTCTGTAATTGAGAATGATTCCTGAGTCTCCATCTTTCATAGTGTATCCATTGATCCTGTGAGCAAACCATTGGCATCGGTGATTGTACATTGTATCTGTGATGTGTAAGATCTCACCACATGATACCTTTAGGCCGCCTTCAACACGTGAAGAAATTGACTGGTTCAAACGAACATAGAAGGAGTCCCCTGAGGTGACCAGGCCACTTTGTATGTCATTCAACAACTTTCGATAATCTGAAATTAGATAATGTATTATTGTCACCAAGAATATATTTGAGGGAAAATTAAATGTCAGTATGGTAAACGTTCTTGTCCATTGGGGCAAACGGGAAATCTAAGAATCCTTATTATGTTTGGTTATAGTGACACCTACAGGAGAAATGGACACTGGCTAGCAAAGGATAGCACGAGCCAGAGCCATCATGCCTTAGTTGTTGTTAGCGTCTTCAGTAGAGTGGACATGTTTTCTTCAGCTCTGTTTAGCCAGTCAACCAACAGTTCTGGTAGATTCATACTTGATGATAATTTAAAATCCTGGATGTTTTCTCCAGTCCACTGAGTGCAGGTGTTTCCAGATTTATACTGGTGTTCTCTCAGTTCTGAATTTCTGGAAGTTTCTACAGTCATCTACAGCTACTGATGAACTCAGGACTGAATATGAAAACTCTGGGCAGCTCTCCATCTAGACAAGCAGTGCAGGTTCCAAGTTAATTAGCCATACTGGTGTTCCCTCTGCATCAGGCCTGCAGTTGGCAGTGACTTGCGTTTGTGCTCCAGTTCACACAGGACTCCATTCAGGCCAGGCCAGTATGTCTGTGGATTTATGCATTTGTCAGTCCAGAGCTTTGGCAGTTTTCACTGACCTCATCTCTGGAGAATCACCTTAATGAGTGGATGTAGCCAAATAATACATTTGAGCATTCTTTCCTTAATTGTACCTGAAACTGCCTGGGGCAGTATTGTCACAATAGACTGTCAATAGCATAGCACTGTGTGAAAATAGGATTTTGTTCTTACTGTAAAATCCTTTTCTCAGAGTCTGTTGAGGGACACCGCTCTGAAGAATTCTGAGATGTAGGGTTATGCTGCTGCCTCCAGGAGAAATGGACACTAGGCAAACAAATTAAAAGCCTGGCATTTAGGGACATAACCCTTCCCAACTCATGCCTGCCAGGTCTAGCAAGCAGTAGAAAAGGAAATGAGGGGAGGGAGCTGTGTCCCTCAATGGACTCCGAGAAAAGTATTTTATGTCAAGAGCAAAATCCTATTTTCTATATCATCCATTCAGGGACACAGCTCTGAAACAACTGAATAAAAAAAGAACTGTTAGACAAGTACTTCATCAGCCACCTGTGAAAACTAGCATCAAAAGAGGCAGAAACATCAACTAAAGATTTGCAAAAGTGTAAAAAGACGACCAAGTTGTCGCCTTGCAAATTTGAGAAGCCTGATTTTGAAATGCCCATGAAGTACTAATTGCCTAGTAGAATGAGCAGAAACAGTAAAAGGAAGTACCTTATCCCACAACTCATAAGCTTCAATGACTACCTGATGAGTCCACTTAGAAATAGTGGATCTAGAAGCTAAACAACATTTTATGGGACCTTCTGGAAGAGCATATAAAGAATATGAATATCTAAAGGAAGTTGTGGCTAACAGATTAGCTCTAACAGCCTGCACAACATCCAAACAATAAAGAGAAATTTCCTTAGGATGAACAAGAACTGGACAAAGTGAAGGTAAAACAATGCCTTCATTTAAAAGAAAGGCCGAAACCACCTTGGGTAAAAAAGAAACCTGCGGTTTCAAAACAACCTTGTTCTTATGAAGAACCAAATAGGATTCTCTAAAAAACAAAGCGGACAACTTGGAAACCTTTTCAAGTCGCGGTAATTGCCACCAAAAAGGCAACCTATTTGGACAACCATAATAAAGAAAAGAGGTTTTTGTAGAACAGATTAAACCATGTTCAAGTATCACAGAAGAAGAGGAGACCTAACAGGAGGAACAACTCATGTAACTCGCTGAATAAATGTACGAATTAAAGAATTTGAAGCAAAATCTCAAAAAGGGACAGACTAGGTAGATATCTGACCCTTAATGGTACTGAGGGCTAAACATTGCTTGACTCCTAGTTAAAGAAAAGACAAAATATGCAATATACTAAAAGCTGTGGCAACCAATAAGCAGAGTGGAAGATTGACCCTTGAGATAGGAGATCTTGCCGATCAGGAAGAGACCACGAATCGTCTGCCAACAGATAAACCAGGTCAGCATACCACACCCTGCGAGGCCAATCTGAAGCAATGAGAATGACTGACTGGAATTTAATTGTATTCTATCCTGTGAAGCAGACAAAGTATTAGCATCAGAGGAGGAAAGGGTATACTGATCCCAAAGGGTTACCAAGGCATCCACTGTGTCCTCTGTTGGATCCTTCGCTCTGGACATGAATCTGTTCTATTGTTGTGTTTAGAAGCTAGAAGATCCACATCCGGCGTCACCTAGCGCTGACAAAGTTGTTGAAACACCTTTTGGATGAAGAAACCACTCACCCACATCCAGACATTGTCCACCTGCTAGTTTTCACCTCCAGGGATGTGAACTGCTGAAAAAACTGGAACATGATTTTTTGCTCAAAGATTGAATTAACTTTCATCTCGCTGCCGAGACGCTCCATTTGCCTCCCTGGTGATTTGATGCAGGCCACTGCTATGGCATTGTCTGACTGAATCTGAACCGGACACTCTGACAGAAGATGTGTCCCGTGAAACAATGCCAGATACATTGCCTCAACTCTGAGGAGAATAAAGTGGACTGAATGTGTGTGCACATGCGCAGTATAGAAATAAAGTGCATCATCAAAACCCAAGTCCTGGCCTCCTAAAGAAATGGCAGGAACTTTTAAAATACATTTGAGTCACCCCATACGCTGCAATAAAGCCACCACATGTCAAATAAACACAATTTTACACTGGTGAAATATAATAAAGAGGAGGGAAAAACCCATCTTTATAAACATAAGTTTACATTGTTACTCACGACTCCATGGCCCTGTTCCTGACATAACAGGAATCCCAAGATAATACTGGCATGACTGATAAATAAAGAAAACTGGAACAAAGGATGAAATATAAGTACTGAGACCAGAAACAACCTGCTTCAGGACAAGTGGAGAAACTTCCGGGAATGATCTTATTCAGTATGAATCTACCGGTTTTGTCCGCTAGCTAGAGAAAACTTCCAGGATTTAATATTATCCGGTATGAATCAATTAGCCACCACTTGATAATAGAGTCTCAATGAAGAAACAAAACAAACTAATAATAGACCAGAAGAGAAGGAGACATCCATTCTCCTGAGGACACTAAGCGAAACTGGCAGGTGTAGATTACAGGGTCTCATGGGGGGAGCTCTCCTCTCCTCTACTATATTGCTATGTACTGTCATTATAGGATGAGTTAGCCAAGTTTCTGGACAGACTGATATGTTTGGCACCAAGGACCAGGTTGATCCTGGCTTGGTGGTTCATCTGATGCCAGCTTCAGGCATTAGGTCTTTTATGTGGCTCCTTGAGCTGTAGGTAGTTCTCAGTTTCTGCTGTCTTTTCTTGGGCCTGTTAGCCGTTGTTGACCACCTCTCTGCTGGCCTATTTTGGGGGCATCCCAACAGTCAAAAAATTCCTGTATCCCTCAATGGATGATAAAGAAAACAGGATTTTTGTACTCACTGTAAAATCTTTTTCTTGAAGTCCATTGAGGGACACAAGTTCCCCCCCTCAGTGTTTATTTATGCTCTCAGGACTAATTTGCTTCCAAACTGAAGCATGATGGTTGTGGCTGGGTTACCCTGTGCTGGCAGTAACTTTTTTTTTTAAATGAGACATGATGGCTGTGACCCGGTTATCCTGTGCTAGCCAATTTTTTGTTGCCGGTGTCCATTTCTCCTGTAGGCTGCAGTCAGTGGCGGACCTAATAACCAAAGGGCCCTGGTGCAAGATTTTATCCTGGGCCCCCCTCCCAAGCCGGGGGGGGGGGGCGCGGGAGCGGATCACACTGGCCCCCGCACCCCCAGCCTCCCCCCAGTGGTCTCTAATGTTGCAGTAGCGTGCTGGACTTACCTGAGACCCTGCAGAGCACACCATAGATCCTGCATAGCCCACCTGAGACTCTCTATGGTGGGCTCTGCAGGGTCCCAGATGGGCTGGTCTTGTCGATGGGGTCCCTTTCCCTGTACCTCCTCCCAATTCTTCTTACCTGCTGCTGCAGCGGCCCGGCCTCCTCCACCCCCTCCCCTGTCACCTCTGCCATGCCGCCCCAGTACAGTTGATACCCATGAGGCTGTCCAGACCACTCACATGGGTACCGGCCATACCCCCCTGATGGCGGTGTTCTATCAAAGGTTGTAACTACATTAGAATGTGTGACGTGGTCACGCGTTTTAACGTAATCCCGCCCAGTTTTTCGGCGGTGGAATGTGTGACTGCCAATAGGTGAAGCATTCAAGCTTTCCCAGCTGTACCAGGGCAGAACAGCATCGCAAATTGCATGTGCAGGAGAACCGATCTGCCCTGAAACAGCTGATCAGTCCTGAAATGTCACTTCTCTCCGACTGCGATCTCACATTTCACCGCACTCACAAAGTCGAATAGAAGTGACATTTCATAACCGATCAGCTGTTCCAGGGCAGATCGGTTCCCTGCACATGCGATTTGCGATGCCGATCTGCCCTGGAACAGCTGGGAAAGCGTTGGAATGCTTCACCTATTCCACCGCCGAAAAACTAGGCGAGATGTCTCAAACTGTGATAGAACAGAGGCCTGTCTGTAATCATTTAATCAGAGAAATAGATTATAATAGGGGACATTACAGTGTAATATTCCCCATTATAATGCATTTGTCTAATTACATGAAATAGCAGCACACAACATAGAAATAGATTATCATACGGAACATTACAATGTAATATTCCCCATTATAATCCACATGTCTAATTACATGAAGTAAGACCCCCACCCTCCCTTCCCCGACTCACCCTGCCAGGATAGCAGCAGCCATGGGTCGATGTGTGCACTCACTGCAGGGGGCGGGGCGGGATGTGTGACACATACACGTCTCCTGTGACTCACCTCCCCTCCCGCCGCCTGTTACTATGGACGCGGCCGGGAGGGGAGGTGAGTCACAGGACCCGCCCCCTCACTGGGAAGCCCGTCGGCAGTGCGAGGCCCCGGTGTTCTAACACCGGGACCCTGCACTGCCCCATATTCCAGGACCGGACCCCACTGAGGCTGTGGGGGTGCCCAGGACCGGACCCCACTGGGCCCCCCCACAGCCTCAGGCCCCGATGCGCCGGCACCGCCTGCACCGGCGGTAGTTCCGCCACTGGCTGCAGTATAACACTACAGTCTGTAAGAATTCCTCTGTCCTTCAATGGACTCCAAGACAAGGATTTTTGGTGAGTATAAAAATCCTATTTTTACATATTTACTTTTTACAAGTTAACATGTATGAACAATGAGCTGAAACTACATAAATAATTATAGTTATTTACTGATTACATATATTTCCCTAATGTAATTGTATAAAACACTTCATAATGCTACCATATGAAAGAATAGGGAGACCTAGTTGAATTACCTATACATTAATGGGAATTTAATTTTAAGCATTGGGAATTATAGATTAGACAGAGATATAGATAGATGGTATCTGGATATACACATCTCACCGTGTACCTATTTTTTAAAACATTTTTAAAATGTCACAAAATTACATTTTATTCAACTGTATGCACTGCAGAGCACTGACAAATTGATAGTCCGAAGTCACATGTCTAAATTTAGCTAAGAGTTTAAAATAATAGTTATTTGTTGGGTGTTCCTTACCTTCCATGTTGCATCGCACTGATAGACAGCAGAAGCCATTAACTCTATTAAGGGTGTAGTGAGCATCCTCAAATGTCATTCCTCCTAGGTTCACCTTGTAGGCAGGATTTATAACATCAAAATCTACCTAAAGAGACCATATAACAAGCAAGGGTCAAGAAAGCACTGAAACCTGTTTAAGAGTATTAGGCAGGATTCCTCTATCAAAACAAAAACACACACAAAAAAAAACACACAAAAAAACCACATTGACGCCAGTTTAACAAATCTTAACACAGTTAGTATTCAGTGTTAAACCACTAAAAGTCCTATTGCTTATGTCAGCTGTATTTACTGTATGCATGTTATCAGTTTCTCTGGTATTCTGAACAGTACAGGGTGTATTCATAAAATGTTTGCAGAACTGTTCACTCTGAAAATGTCTTACTTTTAGATTTGCACCACATTAGGGCCACTAGATGGATCCTAGGAGTATACTCCTATTTGGGGTGAGGGGTATGGGTAGGACAACTGGGGCATTAAAAAAATAAATGAATGGTCGCTATGGGGCCCGGGGCATAGTGGGGCCCGGCCAGATGCCGTGCGGGCCGCCTGGGTCGCTATGGGATCTTCTGCTGCTGGCTTTCACTGGCGTCTGAAGATGAACGCGCCGCTGTTCAGATCATCTGTGCAGCGGCGCATTCGTCTCCACAGTCAGAGAGCCAGCAGCAGCAGGGGAGCAGGCTGGACCCGGTGTTCTATCAACGTCGCAAGCCTCTGACGTCACCGGCAGTGGAGGAGGAGGCGGGCCCGTGCTCGGCAGCAGGGGAGGTGGCGGACTCGGTGATGTAGAAGGAGGCGGGCCCGGCGACGGAGGAGGTAAGGAGTGTGACCAGCCCACCTGAGGGTGATAATGCAGAGCCCACCATAGAGAATCTATCAGGTGGGATCTCGAGTGGGCTCTGCAAGGGGTATAACTAGAAATCACGGGGCCCCATACAAAATTTTGCTATGGGGCCCTGTGATTTCTAGTTACGCCCCTGGAATGGAGTACATATACTGTAGATTATAAGACAATGGGTAAAAATCTATTTTGCCAGAAATTATGACTCTGATCCAAAAAAGGCTTGGATTTTGAGGGATAGATCTAGTAAAAGGACATTTAAGGGGAACAGATATAAAGGGCTAACATCAGGAAAAGAGATGGATCTATTAATTAGATACAATTAAACCAAAAGGTTTACATATTAAGTAGGGATGCACAGATACTTTTCGAGTACCAGTGCAGATACTTGGAATTTTCATGAGAACTACCAGGGTTGCAGAGGTTGCAGCTGGGACCTGGCTCTGGTGCTCCACCACTGTCCTGAAATCAATAGTCTGTATTGTTTTAGAAAAACTGTCACATGACAAACAAAAATGTATCAGTACTCGTACTTGTAAGTACTCCGCAAGTACCAGTACTCATACTCGCAAAACTGGTATCTGTTCATCACTTTATTTATATTTATAAAAACAAAATTGTACATTAAAACAGAGATGTACAAATCCCAGGAGCTCCGTGTGCTCCTTACAAATGACAGCTGCCTCCTAATTTTTGAATTTTTCTCTAGTCTAGTCTTGGAGCTCAAAGGTATCGGTACATGTACTCGTACTTGTACCGAGTACTGTACTTGGTATCTGTGCAACCCTAATATTAAGATAATGTCAGTATTTCACTACAGACAAAACAACTAAAAGTGGAGTTCAGGAGTTTTTCCATAAATAGAGGTGGGTTGCAGCATATTGACTTAGAATGAGTGCCACATTGTGCCTCAACACATCTAGGTAATGCACACATTTACCTGTGCTACCGCAAAACAGTTGGTGTGAATGGGCCCTTAGGGGTGGATTTGGAGAGAGGTCATAGAAACAAATGGATCTAGGTGTGAATGGGCCCTTAGGGGTGGATTTGGAGAGAGGTCATAGAAAAAAATGGATCTAGTTTGGATATAGTTTAGATATAGTAAACTTGATGAACTAAGAATTGGACAACAAACTTAAATAAACTGATATTCTATTAAAGATGTAAAACAGAGTGTTAAATAGAGGGCCAAAAATGTATCTAGTTTAGCTACAGTAAACTTAATATGTGGACATGTGTACATATATATTTGTGACAATGTATTTTTAGATGTGCAAACACTATTTTTATAATTGCATGTCTCTCACTGTATATGATGTAACATATTATTTTAAATTAGACATTCTGTGCCAATTCATTAACTTTTTAAATCTAGAATGTAATTAGAGTGATGTAATTAGGTATTAATTACATAATTAAGGGTCAGTGTTTACAACTTCCATTCACTTCTGAACTGCTTCCCTTCCCATCTATAGGAATGTAAAAGCAGCTGAAAGCAGGTCAAATGCAGCTTGGAAGGAGATCAAATACAGGTCAAAAGTAATTCACAATGATGTCAACTGCAGGTCAAATGTAGCACAGAAGGTGATCAAGTGCAGGTCAATTGTAGCTCAGGAGGTAAACTGCAGGTCAATTGTAGTTCAGAAGGAGGTCAACTGCAGGTCAAATGTAGCTCAGAAAGGTCAATTGCAGGTCAAATTCACCGATCAATGAATTTTAAATGATCTCAGAAGCATCTCAAACTGATGTCAAAAGCACACTGCATTTGACTATCAACACAAGCCCTAATAGTAGCTATAGAAAGTCCAGAAGTTGGTAATAGGTACATAAGGTGCAGCGTTAGAAGCTGTCTTTCAATAGACTTCTTTGCTTCCTACTGCCTTGCCTTTCCTCGCATGTTGAGCCGCTCCTGACAGCTAACAGATCTACCGAAATCTTTAAACTGAGAGATATCAAAAGATTATAGGGACCAGGGGTGTTTCCCGGTCAGTTGGGGGTTGCCACGGGGCATTGTGAAATTTCCACTGGGCTATCTTAGATCAACTGTAAAGCTTTTCATTCTGATCGGGTAAGTGAATACGTTGTTGGAGCTAGAGAAAGATGAAGTGTTTGGAGGGAAGCACAGCATTATGTTTTAGAGTTTTTAAATGACATATTCAGTGAGTGGAGACCGAGAGAGAACTTTAAAGGCAAATTTCACCTTTTCAAAAAGTAAAAAAATTTACACTTCTTCATAAAAGGAAAAATTTACATTTATTGTTTTATTGCATTGGAGTGCGTAATGCATTCCAACCACAATTAGTGGATTAAGGGTGCAATGTTCTGGCTCCTGCAGATTCTCTTTCTCATCCATGTCCGGACATCAATACAGACATTCGTAACATGGACGGGATAAAGAATGAGTCCCATCAACCACACTCTGCCGTGGTGGTTGATAGGACTTGTGGTTTCTCCATTTACAGATCCTGCCAATGGATCACACAGATCAAAATGAAAAACATACAGTCTGGCATATATTGGTAGCACAATTATTTGTGTAGCTTCAAAGAGACACATACATAGTAAAGAGAACTCACTGCCATAATCTGGTATCCAGGCATAAGGGACATTTCATCGGCTGCTGACCCTGGGGTCACGTGATGGATAAAGATTCCTGTTTTGTTACCTCCAATTATACTTATTTGTTTTAGTAGGTCATCTCCCTGAAATGCAATTATTGTAGCCCGACTTGTCATCTTGCGAGCATCACGTCTCCTCACAGGGCTGCAAGAAAAGTAATAGACCATAGTAACAGAGAGAGGTTGAAGAAAGAAGCAAAGTTCTTTTAGTTCAAGCAAAAGACAAATAAATAAAACATTCAAAACTTGCATATAGAGAACTCTAAACCTCCAGTTGATTCAAAGGAAGGCGAAAAAGAACATCCTGTAACACATGGTCCAATATTTCTCTACAGGGGAAAAAATCCTTCCTGATCTAACAGAATCAGATATTCCCTGGATCATTCATCATTACTTATAAATAATTCAAACCCATTATCTTCTGTGGTTTTTGATACAGTATGTCTGTGAAGGTCCTCATTCATCCAGGTCATGGTATATTTGTAAAAAATAAGTCAAGGCAACTGGACTTGCTGTATTTTTCTTGAAGGCATTTCACTGGACATCCGACCAGCTTTCTCAATTCAGAATAACTTGTACAAAAATTATCTGGGAATAAATATGGTGAATGTTGCTCCAATCCACATAATCTGTTAGTCGCAAACAGGTGTTCATTTCATTTGCATAATTGGAGCTAGGAGGTGTTATTAACCTGCCCAGAGAGAGGTGTTAAAACAGCATTGTATGTGGCAGACAATAGATGTCTCACCCAAAACAAACAAACAAAACAAAACAGCAGCTACACCAGCGTATGGCACAGCATAGAAGAGCCAACCCTCTGGTCAGGATTCAGCAAGGAAAAAGGTTACTCCTTTGAAGACAGTCAAGTACGCATCCTAGACAGGGAGGAGGACTGGTTTAAAAGGTGTGAAAGAGGCCATTTATGTAAAAATTGAGGAGCCAAGCTTGAATAGAGGTGGGGTGAGACATCTATTGTCTGCCACATACAATGCTGTTTTAACACCTCTCTCTGGGCAGGTTAATAACACCTCCTAGCTCTAATTATGAATTGAGAAAGATGGTTGGATGTCCAGTGAAACGTCTTCAAGAAAAATACAGCAAGTCCAGTTTCCTTGACTTATTTTTTACAGATATTTTTGAAACAGATACAGCTTTCTTCAAAGTTGGTCAGTAGAATTCCACCATTACAGACATTGTCAGACTTGAGTACCTCCTATGTGAGTGTCACTTTTCTCTGCAGTCCTGAGTCTGGCTCGGGGTTACCGCTCCTGGTATGGAAAATTAACCTCCGAGCCAGACTCGGGAATACCGCCAGGGAGGTTAAAAGTTAGCACTTGTGCCATCAGCCTTTAACTGCTGGTGATCATTGAAAATATCGTAGTGATCACTGGAGCTCACAGAAATTTTTTGTGGCAAGGTAATTCTATTTAATTTAACACATAAATCTCTGGAGAGAGTATATTTCCATACAGGAGGTACTGCACATACTGTATATGTTCAGTAATGTTGAGTACCACCTAGACTTTAGCTGGAATTTCAGTCCTACTGACTTGGCCAAAATTCATGTGTGGCCCCATTGGCGCCCTTTTTTTGACAAAAGTTGATTATTAAATCAATGTTTGTTGTTGAAGCCAGTCCGAAAACTGACAACCAAAGAATGAGCGCAACCATTCAGTTGCAGTCACTGTTTGACAGCCAGCGCCTGTTGCTGTCAGAATACAATAACCAAAGCGACAGATTCATCTATCCACATTGTTTAGCATGAATGGAAGAATCTGTTAGAATTTTTTTGTTCAGCCGTAATCTAATAGCATATTGTCAGCTTTAGGTGGATGCTATACATTCTACACTTTGTGTAGACAACTATAAAGATCATTGGTATGCTGCTGGTTCTACTATAAAGATAATTGGTATGCTGCTGGTTCTACTAAGTGGTGCTGACCTGGGAACTATGCAGGCTCCATCAGATGAGAGTACAAACAGTCATCTCAAGGAACCCCTAGCAACCTCTAGACGAAGCCTAGGGTTCCACAGAACCCTAGTTGAGAATGGCTTGTATACAGACTAAAGTTTTTTGTTTTTTTTTGTCATTTGTGTCTGATTCAGTAGGAATACCTTCTGTCCTGCCCTGTCCTTCCTGCTCTGACACAAATAATTCTAAAGAGAATTCAATTACATCTTAGACTGCTGTCACCAAAACAAGTGTCTCCATAGATATGGTGACAACTCAAAATTTTTGATTTTCTCTCAATTTCAGTCTCAGTGACAATGGTCACCAGGATGAATAGGGGGTCATTTTCCATAGTCGAGAAACAGGAATTAAAACGGACAGAGGTTCTATATAAGTACTATACATTCACTGAACATGGCTTTCATATCTGTCAGCTCTAGAACAGACAAAATAATACCTGCACCTTTTTTCTGGATGCAGCGCACCACAATACACTGTAGTGCATTATCATGGATTTCGTTTAGCTTAAATGCACGTGTGTTCTGGAGGTTTGAACAGCTCCAGGCACCAGCACATAACATAAGCAATGGCTTGACACCAGCTTATGGATTTCTTTTGACCTGCTTACCTTGAGAAACAACTGAGCTCACTCGTTCTGTCACTAATTTCCATGTGTGAAAACATCTGCAGACCTGGAATACAAGTAATAACAGCCACTGTAGGAATGCATCATATATATTAGGTGTAGTTGATTGATTAACTACAAGTTAAGAGGGTAAACAGTGTGAAACCTGGTGCACATGTATACAGTATATAGACCCAATCAATTGAATACATCCACCCAGCCCTGGCATCAGGGAATGCTCAATGAGTGTCTCTTTGTGATGTACTTATTCCCCATTTTCAAACCATCTGAAATATTTTACAGTTTTATATTCCCTTTCTTTAGAAAGCAGCCAATAGGAAAATTTGTCCCCAGCCAGCTGGCTGTAGAGGAGGACCCATTCCTTCTGTGTGGAAGCAGTGGTGTCTCTGTAGAGGTATGACACACCCCCTGCTAGAGCTCGCCAATTAGCAGGGAGCATGAAATTCAATTACTGGAGACCTCTGCAAAGAGACCACTGCTTCCACACAGAGAGCAAGGCTGCAGCTGATTTTCTAAATAAAACCTACTGTAAGATTCTTCACATCTTTGTTTTAATGCACTGAGAGTTTAATTGGGCTTTAAAATGACTTTTTCATTACTTGGAAAAAAAATTTAACAAAATGCTCTTGTAAAAGACTTAAAACTTGCTTGACAGGTTAGTATAAAAGTACAAGCAGCATTTTGCATATTTTTTTCCAGGCTTGACAGATTTGTTCACACCACTATGCAAGTTACAATGGTAAGACACGACAATGCAGTATAAATTATACACATACTGCAGTGCATTGCCATTCTATAATTGCACCCCAATGCACATATACACTGAGTGGCCAGATTATTATGACCAACTGACGTTTGTAGGCAAATTAGCTATAATTTTGCGCTGAAGTTGCTAGAGGGACAGACCATTATAAATAGGGAAGCAGGTTGTTTACCACAACAGTAGAAGTGATTTTTTCTGAAGATATGGGAACTTGATCAGCAACGATACTTTGGTATGTTGTGCTATTCAGACGTTGTTCCACACGAATTAAAGGGCCCAAATCATGCCAGGAAAATCATTTGAGAGGATCCCTGATTAAGATCTGCAGTAATTTGATGCACTGTTGCAACAGTGCATCAAATTACTGCAGATCTTAATCAGGGATCCTCTCAAATGATCTCTGAACGCACTGTTCGCCATACACTGCATCGTATGGGATATGGAAGCCGAAGGCCTGTTCGAACACCTTTGCTGTCTGCAGTTAACAAGATAACACGTCTCCAATTCGCACAGGAACACAAGGATTGGACAGTCGAGCATTGGAAAAAAGTCATGTGGTCCGATGAATCACGTTTCCAGTTGCATCATGCAGATGGCAGAGTGAGAATTTGGCAGAAACAGCATGAAAGCATGCACCCCACATGCAGTGTTATGGTTCAAGTGTTATGGTTATGGAGTACAACCCTTCAAGCTGGTGGGGCAGTGTTATGGTTTGGGGCATGTTTTCCTGGAATGCTTTGAGCCTTTGATTCGTGTGGAACAACGTCTGAATAGCACAACATACCAAAGTATCGTTGCTGACAAGTTCATCCTATCATGTTCATGGCGTATCCCAATGGAGATTGCTTCTTCCAACAAGACAATGCGCCATGCCACGGTGCTCGTATTGTGCAGGAGTGGTTTCAAGAACATGAGGGAGACTTTACTTTGCTTAGGTGGCCCCCACAATCACCAGATCTCAATCCAATTGAGCATTTGTGGGACGAAGTTGAAAGAGCCATCAGGCAGCTGCTTCCACAACCATCAAATCTCACCGAACTGGACAGTGCTATTCATCAGGCATGGTGTCAGATTCCTCACATCACCTTTCAACATCTCGTGGAGTCAATGCCAAGAAGAATCGCTGCAGTATTGAAGGCAAAAGGTGGCATGCAAATGCAGCCTGCTTAGGATGGCCCACTTTTCCAGACTGACACCCACACATGAAAACATTTTAATATTTGTGCATTAGGGCTGAGGGCTTTTGAAAAGAAATCAAAGGCAGGGTGCTTGTATGTTTTCAGAAAGCTATGTATAGCACCCTGCCAACCATTCTCACCAGCCATGATGATCTGCTTTCATTAATGCAGTAATTATGCCCCTACCTATGGATCTTTTATTTTAAAATGTGATTTTCTTTAAGCTAACATCTGTAAATACTAACATTTTAGAATTTTTAAAACCACAACAAATTGTAGTGTTACACACCTTTGCAAGCATTGTGCCATATTCAGCAACCCAGATTTAATTTAACCTAAAGCCTGTTAAGTAATGTTCTAATTGTTTTCTGTTGGTTACTGTGTTACTGAAAAAAACTTCAGGTTCAGACTCCGGGCTTATTCTGTACTGTGCACAACGCGCATTACATGTATTGGATTGGTGTGGTTCCATTGTGCTAATGTGTATACATTTTTAATGCATCTCATGGACCAGGCTGGTGTGAATGGATCCTTATAAGATAAATTCAGGCATGCTAGCTATTGCTCATCGGTTCTTCTCTACTGCTTGCTACTAACAGAAAGGTAGGCACTTTCTTTTGAAAGAACAGAAGTGGAAGTTATTTTTTGAGCTCATCTCACACCACTACCTTTCTTCCATCATATAACTATGACATTGCTTAAAAATATATGATATCACATAAAATATTATGCTACTGATGTTGTTTAAGCACTATATCATTGTGTATTTTTTTACCTTTCTTATACTCTGCTTCATATTCAAAGTCTGTTTCTGCTCTCTCATCTTGGAGAATAGCAGGAAGTTCCTGAGAACAACTACTGTGTGAAAATAATGAGTTAAATATGCAAAGTCAGAAAAGCAACATAAACAGGACATTTATCAGGCAAATTAGTGACACAATTAAATGCAAAGTATATGCATACAAGGCATTCTGTGAATGGCCAAGGCAAGAGGCGGTGGATAAAGACATTTGCATGTATGAGAGCAGCAGCTATCATACCATCAGCACACAGAAGTATTTAATGCACATAAATATTTAATTGCACATAAATATTTCTAAAAATGTCTGTACCTGGAGTTCTACTTTAAGAATTTTATATACACATACTTAATATATATTATATAAATGTCTTGATACTTTGATAAACCTTCACCACCAACCCTTTTCCCCTTCACCTCTATTCCCTTTCCTTTCACTAAATTCTATTGTAGCACCCTGTAAACATTAATTAATTAGTTAATTTAGTTGTTGTCAGATTGTAATCAGTCTGACACTGATCTATAGTCTGTGCTCATTTGGTTTCCCCTAACCAATTTGTTATCATTTGCATCTGCCAGCTGCTAGGTGTAGCCTTGCCACAGAGCAGAGCAACCAATAAGGGATTGTTATTATATATATATCTCCCTGGCCAATCACTTGGAGGTTCATGTCCAGTTGTTGTGCATGCTGGGAGAGAACATAAATATTCGGGGCAGACCATGTGAGCCGGTTTTTTTCCCCAAGGCTCCAGCCTGCGGAGAGTTTATGTCAACCGACTGGTCTGGCTAGGCCTGTGCCTGAAGCCCAGGGACTAGCCATGTGCTTACACTAAGGCCTGAGTCTGGGGGCCCACTGACTGGATGAAGATGACTGGTGACTTCTGATTCAAGTACTGCTCAGCCAGGTGCTCTGAACAAATATTGCCCATTTGGCTTAAAGATCCAAGTCTGTGATGTCAGCAGATGCGGTATTCTATCATTTAAAGGAGTCTATAAGAGCCTGGATGTTCCTGACCCTAAAGCTCTCTCCCTGAAGTTCTACAATAAAGTTCCTTCAGCATCATATCTACAGTCTGGATCTCAGCTTAATCGATCGCCACAGAAGGGTGGTAAGTGCTATTCTGGCAGCCAGGTTGCTAAAATCCCTAGACAGGCTATGGAAGACCCGTTTATCCAGCTAGTCCTTCAGGGGTGAGTGCTACATGATATTTGGCATTTCTTTGTCTGACGTCTCAAAATATATTAACTTATGTTGGAATTCGGTCACTTCTTAATAAAAAAAATGTGTATTTGTGTATATTATTATTTTTTTTTCATATGAACGTTTGTACAAAAATCTACCAGCTAAGACCAGCTTAAGCAGAGATAGCCATTTCTGAATAAAGTTAAATGTTTGTAGTAAATATGTTCCATAATCTCTCTCACTGCTTCTGTTTAGCATTGCCTTGCTGTGAACCAAATTGATAAATAGTTGAAGAATGTCACCAGCACATCAAAACGATAGTTACAGCAATTAAGTGTTCATTTATTGAAGAATGCTGTCCCTCATTTGCAAGAGCTTTCGGGGCCACGCAGGGTCCCATCCTCAGGCTCAGAGATGACTGGCCCCGAAAAGCACTTGCAAATGAGGGACAGCATTGTTCAATAAATTAATTGCTGTAACTATAATTTTGGTGTCCTGGTGATGTTATTTAACTATCTGCATGTGGTGGCAGTCATTTCGAGCACCACCCCCTGGTATATCCACATGGGAATCCCGGTAATTGTGTGCAGCAAAGATCCTTTTTCTTGCAAAATTGATAAATGTCCCCTAAACTGTTCATGGGCTACCCATAGCTCTAACAATCATATAATCATAAACAAGAATAACAAATACTGTAGGTGCTATGTGTAGTGGGCAGATCTGAATCAGGAAACAAGATTTTCCAGCAAATACTTTTCTGCGCTTCATGTGTCATGACGATGCAGTGGTGGGAGTTGTAACAGACACAAAGTGGATCCCACTGACCCTAGTTTACTAAAGAAATAAAACATGTTCATTTTGCAAGGGGATTTTCCCTTGTTTTAGTGAAAGTGGGGAAGTTGTGCTGCCTTCAATCATCCAATCATGTTCAAGCAAAATTCCTGTTTTCTTAAACATTTCCTTGCACATGATTTGGTATTCTTTGCAAAGTGAATCCTACAGACAGTTATATTTCTGGCACCTCGGGGATAAAGAGCTGCAGCTGTAACAGTAAAGCGCTCCAGTTGTACATTTGCCCCTTCCTCTGCCCTCTGAATTCTTTGCACAGAATGGACAAGGGGAGAGAAAGGGGCAGGTATACAACTGGTGCACTTTATTGTTACAGCCACAGTTTTTGAATGCGGCAGCACCAGAAGTAAAGCATACTTACTGACTGACTTACTAACTACTAATACTACTATGATCAGTGTCTTAATAGTAAAATATCTACACCCTGGGCCATTAATTTAACTCCCCCCAGTGTAATTTAACTCCCCCCAGTGCAGCCCCCCTCCCCTGAATTAAAGGAGAACTATGGGCTTTTCCCCATAGTTCTCCTTAGGGTAATGGGAGGACACAAACTAGCATCCTCCCGTCACCCTAGGCTCAGTACACAGCGAGCAACTGAGACGTCGCGGTATACTGAGACGCCGCAGCTGAAGCGGATCCCGACAATTGTGCCGGGATCCGGCCAGCTGCGTGACTGACAGCTGGCTCTGCCTATCTAGAGGCAGAGCCAGCTATACCCGCGCCCTCCCCCGTCTGTTCCGCCAGTCAGCGCTGGCAGATCGGAGCGGGGAGGGGGGAATCCAGCCCCTCCCCTGTCACGGCAGAGAACCGTGACAGGATCGAGAGGTGAGCGAACGCCGGTATGTGTTCGCTCACCTCCCGATCTACTGAGCCGACCTGTGACAGTCTCATTGTCACAGGTCGGCTAGAACTATGAGATGAGTGAAAAGCCCTCACCTCATAGTTCTCCTTTAAGGGCAGGGACTGCCTGCCTCTGATGCCTAATAGAACTGTTGGTGCAATAGGGAGGCAGGGCAGCAGTAAGGAGCACGTCTGCTGGTAAAAACTATTTACTCGGACACTAAAACAACAGTTTTAGCAGCTGGGTGACAACTCTCTGCCAGAGTGAACTCCTGTGGGCCCAGAGACCTGGTAATCATTTTGATTAACTGGAGACTGCTGCTATAATCAAGTGAGTTCCTAGATATGTTAATATATGTTCTTACAATATATGGGTTGATTCCCAGAAGGTCCATGAGATGGAGATCTGTACCAATGGTCATATAGTGAAGAAGTTCCAGTTTTGGGCTACTGACTCCTGTGGCATGGCTTGTGGTTTTGCTGCTGGTTCAACAGGGGCGGCTGCAGGTATTTCCGAGTTGGTACTTGTAGCTGGTGAATATGGTGCTGGGTAAACTTGGTGCTGATTCTAGTGGACGCATGAGTTTTGGAAGTCATAAATGTTTGTGGCATTAAACAGACCTGTTACTGATACTTGGTGTTCCATTGTAAGCTTATGCTTATGTGGATGTGTGTTTACAAAGGTTCTGTTATCACGGCTCTGGTCTCTCTCCTATAGTCTGATGCTCTCAAGCCTTCTGCCACTTTCTATAAACAGCCTCCACACATATACTTGCCTTGCACAAATTTATAGTTACCTGTTTTCTGATGCACACATTCAAGTTTTGTTCTACTTTATTCTGGTAAATATGTCTCTTTTTAAACAATGCCAATATTTACACACAAAACTGTGCCTCTAAACAAAATTGATACTGGCCTTGCTGGGGCTAGGAGCCACAAGTGAGACAACAGATTTAGCGCACGGTTAGCAGAAAGAGAACACAAATAAGATGCATGTATAAAACAGAACTAGCACTTGGTACTTGTGTAGAGTACGGTGTTGATCAAGAAGTATCCTATTTAAACTAGATTACTTTTAGATTACTACTTACCTCTTAGAAAGGCCATGTAGATAATCATCATGGAAAGAGTAGCAAGACATACTTTCACCAAGATCACTGCTGGCTTGACAGCTTAATTCCTGCCAGGACTAAAATAATCACAGGATGACTGTAGAGTTCTTATATCCCAAATAAAGTTCTTACATTGTGTTTAATTTAATAATCTAAGGGTTTTAGCACAGCACACAAATTAGGTAGCCTGTTTTGTTAGAGTGGACTTGGTATATTTTAGGAAACCTCAAGATAAGGTGCCTAAGCAGTACCTGGAAAATTTACCTTTTGTCTTGAATTCCTCCTGAAAAAAAGCAGTGCACTTCCTGGTATGCGAGTGTGCCTAGACAGTCCTGTTCTGTAGCCTCATCTGTATATATGCAGCAGGGGCGTCCCGAGGCCGGGTGACTGTCACATCTGGAGACTGTCATCCAGTTTCCAGATGTGAAGTACCAACCCTTCCTGCTAATCTCCTCCTCCTTTGTTGTTTTGTGGTTGGTTTAAAAATAAATGCTACCTCTCCATACAAATTGGTAAAGTGTATTGTTAGTCATTCCTGCTTGCATATACTGTGCATTAAGAAAGTATTCAGACCCCCTTCACTTTTTTCAATTTTGTTAAGCTGCAGCCTGACACTACAGTTGCTTAAATTCTTTTTTGTTCCCCTCATTAATGTACACTCAGTACCCCATAATGACAAAGTGAAAACAGAATTTTAGAAATTCTGTGAATGTATTAAAAAGAAAAAACAGAAATATCACATGTACTTAAGTATTCAGACCCTTTACTCAGTACTTTGTTAAAGCACCTTTGGCAGCAATTTAGGCCTTGAGTCTTTTTGGGTATGATGTGACTGGATTGGGGGATTTTCTGCAATTCTTCGTTGCAAATCCTTTTTTGCAAATTCAAGCTCAGTCAGGTTGGATGGGGATGGCCATTTTCAGGTCTGTCCAGAGATGTTCAATAGGGTTCAAGTCAGGTTCTGGCTGGGCCACTCTAGAACATTCACAGAGTTGTCCCTAAGCCACTACTGTGTTGTCTTGGCTGCGTGCTTAGGATCATTGTCATGTTGGAAGGTGAACCTTCGGCCCAGTCTCAGGTCCTGAGCACTGTGGAACAGGTTTTCATTGACAATAGCTCGGTACTTTGCTCCATTCAGCTTTACATCAAACCCTGACCAGTCTCCCAGTCCCTGCTGCTGAAAAATACCCCCACGGCATGAGGTTGCCACCACCATGCTTGACTGTTTGGAGGAAACCAGGCACCGCTCAACACCTGCCCAACATAATGTTTAGAAGTGAGGCCAAACCATTCAATCTTTTTCCTCACTGTCTGAGAGTCCTTCAGATGTTTAGCAAACTTCAAGTGGACTTTCATGTGTTTTGCAAAGGTTTCCGTCTAGCCACTCTGCCATAAAGGCCAGACCGGTGGAGGGCTGCAGGGATGGTTGTCCTACTGGAACTTTGTCTCATCTCCACACAGGATATCTGGAGCTCAGTCAGAGTGAACATCGGGTTCTTGGTCACCTCACATACTAAGGCCCTTCTCCCCCGATTGCTCAGTTTTGCTGGGCAACCAGCTCTTGGAAGAGTCCTGGTTGTGCCAAACTTCTTCCATTTGAGAAATTATGGAGGCCACTGTACTCCTGGGAACCTTCAGTGCAGCACAAATGTTTTTTGTAGCCTTCCCCAGATCTGTGCCTTGCAATAATCCTGTCCCTGAGTTCTGCAGGCAGTTCCTTTTTTGACCTCATTGCTTTTGCTGTGATACAGTATCCATTGTCAGCTGTGAGACCTTCTATAGAGAAGTGTGTGCCAGTGGCGTCACAAGGGTGGGTGCGTCCCGTACCCGGGTGACACTAAAATGACTGACACCCATTTTAGTGTCACCCCCTATAAAAAGTCGGGCACTCAGTCATGGACAGAGAGCCCAACAGTGTCAGGAGAGAGGAGGGGACCCGGTGGCATACCTCATCCCGCCGGGTGAACGTCCCCTCCTCTGTCTGCCAGCATCCATCACCAAGATGGCCACTGGCAGGCGTCAATTAGATGACCATGCGTGCGCGATGACATCACTGCGGGGTGTCACCCGGTCTCCGCTCCGGGTGACATCCGACCTCGGGGCACCCCTGGTGTGTGCCTTTTCAAATCATGTCCAATCAATTTAATTTACCACAGGCGGACTCCAAGGTGTAGAAACATTTCAGCAACCATCAAGAGAAATGGGAGGCACATAAGCTAAACTTCAAGCGTTGTTGCAAAGGGGCTGAATACTTATGCCAAGGTGATATTTCAGTTTGTCTTTTTCATTAATTTGCAAACATTTCTAAAATTCTGTTTTCACTTTGTCATTATAGGGTGCTGAGTATAGATTAATGAGAAAAAAAAGAAAGAATTTAAAAAAATGAATCGGGCTGCAACATAACAAAATTAAAAAAAAGTAAAGGGGGTCTAAATACTTTCTGAATGCACTGTATATTCCAGAATGTGGGATCACATTATATATTTGAAAGATTAATAAAAGTATGACATTATACACCCCTATCACAGAAAAGATTGTATCGTGACATAATACATGTAATGATAGAAAAAAGTTATTGCTATATTGAATACTATTTTCCATTCTTTTATTCATATTTTTCTCCACATTTATATGTATACTGAGTTGACCAGCAAAAGTAACAGAGGTTATAACAAAGAGTAACACTGCCCCGAGTGCTTGAGAATTTGCAGCATTTTTTTGCTGTTAAAGGATAACTTCACACCTAGGCGTATCGAATATGCGTGTTTGTCGCGTGTTTCGTGCCACGCGTTTGCGAGGGCTACCTGGCCAATGAATACACGCTGCAAATATGCCCCAAAGAAGCTCCTTAACTTCTTTGGGCGTAGGGCGTTTTTGCAGCGTGTTCTAACGCGCGGTAAAACGCCCAGGTGGGAACCATGCCCATAGGCAATCATTGGTTTTCACATGTTGAGCGTAGGAACGCGCTGTATTCAGCATTGTGTGTTGCAGCAACGTATCCACATGTGCAAAGCAACTGGCCTACTGTAAAGTGGTGTTATACCATTTGTAAGTGTTGCAATAATTCACTGTTCATATATGGTACATTGTGGTACACTATAAAAAGTGTTGGTTTTTTTTTGTCTATTGGCCTCGGTGAAGTTGTCCTCTAATGTTCCCCAATCAGTGTAACCCATATAGTAACATATTTACCTTTTACACCTGCTCAGGAGATCTTCATTGTGCAACCCTGCCTCAGCTCATTGAACTCCAGATGAATATGGGCCCAGCCCTGCCTTAGCATGATAGAACTCCAGTCCAGGCCCTGTGCCTACTCCACATACACACTTATATATTCCTATGGCTCATCTGTAGTCAAGGTGGAAACAGCCATACAGAGGAAAATGAGCCAAGCCATAGGAATGAGGTCATACTCAGTAGGTGCCGGGACTAGCCAAGGCTTTTTGTGCAAAGGTTGTGCAGTGCCAGGCAGGATCTTTGGAGCAGTAATAACAGTAAATATGTAAGTTACGCTGAGGGAGAAAGCTTTAAATGACAACTTGACTAGAAGTGTGTAGAAATGAAGACTGTTGTAAGTAGGGTTGCCACCTTTTCTTCAAGCAAAATCCGAACACTAGTTCCACACCGCAATTTTTTGGGGAGAATATTCAGGAAAGAGAGAGGAGAGACAGCCAGGAGAAAGAGGGAGGAGAGACGGCCAGGAGAAAGAGGTGGGAGGGACAGACAGGAGAAAAAGGGCAGAGAGACAGCCAGTCGAGAGAGACAGTGACGGGAAAGAGCGAGGAGAGACAGCCAGGAGAGTGTGCCCTTCAAGATTTATCTGCACCCTGTGTTTCAGACACCTCCTTGCTCCCCAAGTTCCAGTGTCCCTCCATGTCCTGTGCCTTCTCTATGCACTCAAGTTGGAACACCAGGTCCCCGTGGTTGCCCCTGTCATCATGAAATCTTGTCTCCGGCTTTCAGCTGGCCAGAAAACCGGACACAGCACATACAGAACTCAAATGCAAGTCAGGGTGAATTGCGGACAGGTGGCAACCCTAGTTGCAAGGTGCAATAAGCTTGACCTCTGCATATGCTGCCTAACTATACTGTTTAGCAAAACTGCCAAAATTGCAAGGTGCGCATATTTTACCTGACCTTGGATAATGGCTTGAGCCTAGGCTGTAGAGCCCATAATTTGAGGTCCTAGTGCTACAAAATGTAAATACTTGGGAAAATAAGTGCTGAACTCTTTCAGAAAACTGTAAATACTCCATAAAACACCGGTTCTTTACAGAAATACAATAATGAAATAACATATAAAATTGGTCTAACAAACCTCAGAAATGCTGGAAGAAGATCCTTTGTCTCCATCTTCTGAGGGACAAATAGCGTCCATCCGCACTAGCCTTTGGTGTCTAAATTGCGTGTGCTCTTTTCCCATCTAGCCAACAAAAAAGTGTCACAAAAAAGGTGCTAGAATTAATGTTATGAATTTGCATCTAAAACATTTCATTTTACCTGCTCAATGTTATCAGTAATGAAAACTAGCTTCTGGTTTTTTGTTTTTGTTTTTTTTGCTGTTTGCTTGATAAATCTATTGATTACTACCATTAACAATCCAAAAGCAGATTAGGACATGCGTTAAGGAAGAACTTTACCCTTACTTTTAAAAAGACAACAAAGACACCTTTAGAAATGTTTAGTAATGACAATATACAAACAGATACTTCTAGATAATTGCCAGATTTTTATTCTTTCCGTACCTTATTTCTCTTTTCTTCCCCATTCTTCTCAAAGTGGCCATTTTTTCTAGGGGCAGATTAATCAATCTCTCTTTACTTCCTGGAACTCTGGCACATGTGACATGTGACCATGCACATCATCTCAAGGGAAAAATGCCTTTCCCTAAGATCTTGTGAATTCCAAGCAATGCACTGTGATGTAACCTGCCCAGGATGCATCTCTTAGGCACAGGCTACATCACTAATGCCTAAGAGAGCCAGGTAGTAGAAAACTGCAATTGTAAGTAAAAGCAATATATGTTTATTTAACTAATGAACGTAAGATGATTTCATATCAGCACACAGAGCTGAATGTTGATGTGATTCCCATGGTGGTTGATACTCACACCCCCTGAGTGTCAGTTCACTCCATATACCCTGAGAGGGGGTGGGAGGAGACTTGCATCGGCTTGCCCTCTCTTTCTCACCATACATTTTTAAAATACCTGCAGATGAGAGAACAGCTCCTGCTGAACTTCCTTATTCTCTTCAGTTGTAGGTCAGTGATATCGTCGCATCTCCGCCTCCTCCTGGTCAATCACAAAGTAAATGGAGCAAGGCTTCATTTTGTCAATGACCAGGATGAGAGTGGAATGGAGATGCAACCTCAGCGACCAGGTCTATGAGCCCTGCAAGGTTACAGCTGGAGCAGGCACCGAAGTTCAGAGGGTTCTGGACTTCCACCAGCAGGTATATTGATGATTTATGGTGATAAGAAGGAAGATCTATTATAGACATGGGTTTCCATAGCTGGTGGAGAGTGATGCCTCTAAGAGCCGGGTGGAGAGATGATTGCATCTCCCCGCCAGCTCTTAGCAACATCGGTGCCTGTGAAACTGTGAGGGAGTGTAGCTGTGGCTTTCTAGCTTTCCATCCAATCAGGAAGCTGGGCTGGTGGTCACATGACCACCTGCCAGGCTCCCTGCTTCATTACTGCATCCCTGCTGGAAGAGGCAAAGGACAGTTGAAGAGATGGGAATCCAGGATGTCCCAGGTCTGTGTAAGTATTATATATATGTATAACACGCCTATGGAGGGGACATGTCATGTAAACAGCAGGCAAGAGCTAGGACTCATCAGTGCAGGGTTGGGAGGGGGCGTGTCATGTAAACACAACAGATGAGAGCTTTCGCAATGTACTCCTGTTATCAAAAATGCATCATAAAATTCAGTGTAATATATTGTGGGCGGAGCACAGAGCTTAAACCCCCCCGCCCCCCCCCCCCCCAGTATATTACACTGAATTTTAAACTTTAGGTGCATTATTGATTTTGCAGTGTACTCCTATATCATAAGGAAACTAAAATGCAAAAAATGTGTACTCCATAGTTCTCCTTTAAATATACATTATCAACTGGGAATTCTGGTGCAAATATCTCACTGTTGTAGCCTCTGTGAGATATCAGAAAACAAATGTGATCTGAAAACAGGGACAATCCAAATGAATGAGCTCTGTATTGTAGAATCTCATAATTCCTCCTATCCTTTCACTTGTGTATATTTTTATTGTGCTTTTGATATGCAAACCAGTCTGGTTCTGGTTGTATGATAAAAAGAAATAGTTAATCTGCGCTCCTGGAACTAAAAAATATGTAAATATAATAATACCCAAAGCAGCTATGTAATAAAGGAGAAGGTCTCCTTAAATGGAATAAAAAAGTTGTGTCACAGCGCTGAAGGTTAAGTTAATTAAATTGGTTAAAAGTGTAATCGTGTAATCCGTGATTACATTAAATAAATTAATTAAATCAAGTGTTCACATAAAAAAGTGTGTAGAAAAGAAGCGTGTTTAACACAGCTTATAAATAGTTAAGCAGAACCCAACATCATTTGTTATATAGCAAATGGAACAAACTAAAGTAAAAATTGACAACAAAAGTGTGAGATAACAATGAATATCTAGAGTTGAATTGTAGCACATATGTGGAAAAAAAGTTGTGACAAATTAAATTGATCTCAAGTAAAACAAATAATAATAAGTTTGTCAATCAGTGATCTGTATCAAAAAGTTCTGATAGTCACACAGTGGCAAATGCAACAAAGTGAAAATGTTTTTATCGATCTAAATAGATCTATTAACGGTAATCTTGCAGAAAAAGGTATCAGAAAAAAATATATCAGAAAAAATATATCGAAAAACAAATATTCTTGCAGAGAAGACCTCAAAGGACGGGGAAAAATAATGTTCACAAGGCAGATAGTAGTGGATCTTTTTTTTCGGTTTAGTCAGCAGCCCCCTTATAGATGGGTACTCACCAGAGTGCAGTGAGTAAACGAATATTTGGAATAGCGGCATTCCGGTCCACGATCCTGTTCAAATTTAAACTCAATTCTTCCCGCGTTGGAGATTGGCCAGGAGGGAGTTTTAAACTCTGCAGTGCTGGAGATGTCCAGCGTACACAGAGGCTATTCCTCCTAGATGCGATGTCAGCGAACCATCTCTCAGTGATCCCCGTGGTAAAAAATTAAGAAGAAAACGCCTTCATGGTGCAGTAAATAAAAGCATTCAAGTTTATTAAAACATATAGTAACTCACATATAAAGTATAAAAAGTCCGGCCGGCAAAACAGCTCAAAAACCGCTATGTAGACTCCTCGTGTGCAAATGACTCTGCCTTTTTGACGCGTTTCGTCATGTGACCCTTTCAAGGCAGATATCAAGAAATGAGGTGGATGCTGGTATATAAGTGTTCTGCATATTGATCTTGATTGGAAGACCAATCAGCAAATAAGTCAAAAAGGTAAACATCCATTAGAATTAAACCAGTGTGAAATCTGATAGCGAGAATGAGTGAGTCTACATAGAAAAAGGAAATAATATAATTGGGACATCACAACAATAAATGAATTAAGTAAATTGAATGATCTATAGCATTTCATTGGACTTGCTAATTAAGACAAGACAGATTTTTAGGAGGATAACTAAAAAGTTAACTAGTGCAAGCATAAACCAACGATATTAAATTAGGTAAAATGCAATAGCAAAAATTAAATTGAAAATGGGTGATCGATCAAGTACAGTACAGCCATGTGAGGGATGTGTAAAATCGGATCAAACGAATCATAAAAGAATATAGGCTAAAAAGCCTTAAGTGCTCTACCACGAACCATATAAATGATTATGTATATATATTAATAGCAAAAAAAAGAATGATGGGCATTAGTGTATGTTGATTAAATACAGTGAACGAATGTGATGGGCGGACATTCCCAAACAAGAAATAAATTAGTAATAATGGGATAATGATGAAAAGGATTAAATGAACGTTGGAATCTAATATATTAATGTGTGTATAATATTAATAACTAAAAGAGGATGAATAAAAGTGTAACGTATGAACAAGAGTTATTCATTGAACATTAGTGTATGTTGGTTAAATGCGGTGAACGAAAGTGACTGGAGAACATTACCAACATTAATTTGTGAAGATAGGATAATACTAAATTTAAAGAATAGCAACATTAATTCAGTGAAGAACATTGGTCGTATGTAATTGCAATCACCTATGATCTAAGTAGTCGACCTATAAGGTTTATTGAATTATTAAAATCTAAAATATTTTAAAATATTTAAAATATATCTATAAATGAGAAATTAAATCATGAATAATAGGGGGAAGGATTAGATAATGGTGACCTATCATTGGGGGCATAGTGACATATTAGTAATTATTTAAGAAGCAGTTTAGGTCAAAGTCTATATTAAGTCCCCTGGGTGTCATGGTATCTAGAAGAAAGATCCACTTTGATTCATTTTTGGAGATTTCTTTAATAAGGTTAGAACCTCTCCAGTGGTTTTTAACTTTGTCGATGCAACATATTTTGAGATCCTGATTATGAACCAGTTTAAAGTGCCTAGATAAGCTATGTTTTTTGTGAACCCTTTTTTAATATTGTTGATATGTTACTCTATCCTCTTCCTCAGTTCTCTCTTGGTTCTGCCGACATATTGAAGTCCACAGGGACATTCTAGGAGATATGTCACATAACGACTACTACAAGAGATAACAACATTTTTTATTTTTTATTCTTTATCGTTTGTGATTTAAAGGAATTCATTTTTGTTCTCAATCCTGTAGTTCTACAGCCCAAACACATTTTACAGGGCTAGAAGCCAACTCCTTCAAAAAAAGAAGCGGTTTGTTTTGGTGGGTCAATAACGTTTTTGGATAGTTTATCCCTCAGGGTGGGCGCCTTCCTATAAATAATTTTGGGTTTGGGTGGGAGTAGGAAACCAATTGTTTTATCCCTTTTTAGAATAGCCCAATGCTTCCTGATAATATATTCTATATCACGATGTTGGGTTGAGTAATCAGTTATAAACGATATAGGAAAAGAATCAGTTTTGTTTCTTGGAACTTGTTGTAATAGATTCTGTCTATCAAGGTCCGCAACCTTATCTCTTATTCTATATAGCTCATCCTTCTTATAGCCCTTCTCCACGAATCTGTCAACAAGGACTTGAGACTGTGAATACAAAATCTCCTAAATCATTACAGTTCCTCCTGATACGCATGAGCTGTCCTTTAGGGATAGCTCTTAGTCATTGCGAATGATGACAGCTTTGGGTAGGTATGTACCCATTTTTGTCGGTGGGTTTGAAGTATGTTTTTGTCTTCCAACCATTTGGATCCTTTGTAATCTCCAAATCTAGGAAATGTACTGTAGATGTATCAATGGTGGATGTAAAATGTAGATTGTAGTCATTGATGTTTAAACCGCTTACAAAATTTTCTAAGGAGGGTGATGTCCCTTCCCAAATGATGAAGATATCATCAATGTAGCGTTTCCAGAGTTTTAATGGTTCTACAGTTTTGCTGAAAATATGTTCTTCTTCCCACTGTGCCATGTATAGGTTAGCCATACTGGGAGTGAATTTGGCTCCCATGGCTACACCCTTCACTTGTAAATAGAAATTATTTTGATACCAAAAGAAGTTTCTATTCATGGCAAATTCTAGGCATTCTAAAATATAGTTACTTTGCTTGCATTTAAAATCTCCATGTTTGTCGAATGCCCAATTAATTGCTCTGAGTCCTTTTGTATGAGGTATACAGGTGTAGAGAGAGGCTACATCTATGGTGGCTAGTAATACATCTGCATCTGGGTTTTCTGGTAATCTCTACTGTCTTTTAGATAAGCTTCCGTTTTGTAAATAATAATCAATATATTCCCCTAGTCTTGCCGTAAGGGAATCAATTCCACAAATAATGGGTCTTCCTGGCAGCTTTTCCTTGTCTTTGTGGATTTTGGGGAGAAAATAAATCGTTGGCACTTTACAAACAGAGGATAGCAGATAGTCTTTTTCTTTTTTCGTTAATAATTATTTTTAATATATAATGAAATAAATTAAATAATATATAATATAATAATTATTTTTATTTTTTATATCCCCTATTTATTAGGTTCACCAATTCTTTTTTTCAATAATCTGTAGGTGTTTTTAGTATGTAAGATATTACCCATTTCTTCTTCGTAGTAATTTCTGTTCATCACGACCACCCCTCCCCCTTTATCAGCAGGTCTAATCACAATCTCATTTCTATCTTCAAGGGATTCAATTCCTCTACTAATGAATGTTTTATTCTTTATATGTTTAATTTTTAGAGATCTAATATCCTTTTCTACCAAACTCCTAAAGACTTCAATGAAGTGGTTGGAATTATTTTTAGGATTGCATACTGAGTTATTCCTTAGCGGGGTTTGTATATATTTCTTTTCTTTGGTGGTAGTGGCATTCTTAGAGGTGATATTAGTGGTGGAGGAATAATATTTTTTTATATTCAGTTTCCTAATGAATTTTTGAAGGTCGATATAGGTAGAAAACTTGTTAAGGTTATGTGCAGGGGCAAATTTCAATCCTAAGTTTAAAACCCTCTCCTCCTCTGTGCTTAAGGGAGTCGAGCTAATATTGAATACGCCCTCTCCTACCACACTCTGTTGTTTCCTATATTGTAGCTTCCTCCCCCCTCTGCAGCCCCTCCTCGGAATCTTTGATTTCTGAAATATTCCCTTTGGTTCATATAGGGGCCTCTCCTCCCCCTCCCCCCTATATGACCTTGATCTTCCCATTCTCTCTCTAAATGGTCCTCTTGTCCATGAGGATCTCTGTTCGTCCAAAAAGGTCGTCTTCCCCTTTGGGTGAAGTGACCCAGGCGTCCCCTTGGATGTGTCTCTCTGTAAGGGGGATTGTGGTGAGGAAACCCCGAAAAATCCTGTATCTTTGGGGTTAAATCTTTTGGGGCAACATTTGATTCAAAAAAGGATCCCTTATTATCGTCATCCTGTTCCATTAAAGGATAGTAACGTTGAGAAAGGGGTAAATTGAAACGGGTTTGTTGTACTAATGATTTTTTATGTTGTGAATTTAGGTCATGATTTTTTGGAAGGGGTGTATTTTAGTATTATCCTATCTTCACATATTAATGTTGGTAATGTTCTCCAGTCACTTTCGTTCACCGCATTTAACCAACATACACTAATGTTCAATGAATAACTCTTGTTCATACGTTACACTTTTATTCATCCTCTTTTAGTTATTAATATTATACACACATTAATATATTAGATTCCAACGTTCATTTAATCCTTTTCATCATTATCCCATTATTACTAATTTATTTCTTGTTTGGGAATGTCCGCCCATCACATTCGTTCACTGTATTTAATCAACATACACTAATGCCCATCAGTTTCTTTTTTTTGCTATTAATATATATACATAATAATTTATATGGTTCGTAGTAGAGCACTTAAGGCGTTTTAGCCTATATTCTTTTATGATTCGTTTGCTCTGATTTTACACATCCCTCACATGGCTGTACTGTACTTGATCGATCACCCATTTTCAATTTAATTTTTGCTATTGCATTTTACCTAATTTAATATCGTTGGTTTATGCTTGCACTAGTAAACTTTTTAGTTGTCCTCCTATAAATCTGTCTTGTCTTAATTAGCAAGTCCAACGAAATGCTATAGATCGTTCAATTTACTTAATTAATTTATTGTTGTGATGTCCCAATTATATTATTTCCTTTTTCTATGTAGACTCACTCATTTTTGCTATCAGATTTCACACTGGTTTAATTCTAATGGATGTTTACCTTTTTGACTTATTTGCTGATTGGTCTTACAATCAAGATCAATTAGCAGAACACTTATATACCAGCATCCACCTCATTTCTTGATATCTGCCTTTTTTTGAAAAAGTCACATGATGAAACGCGTCAAAAAGGCAGAGTCATTTGCACACGAGGAGTCTACATAGCGGTTTTTGAGCTGTTTTGCCGGCCGGACTTTTTATACTTTATATGTGAGTTACTATATGTTTTAATAAACTTGAATGCTTTTATTTACTGCACCATGAAGGCGTTTTCTTCTTAATTTTTTACCACGGGGATCACTGAGAGATGGTTCGCTGACATCGCATCTAGGAGGAATAGCCTCTGTGTACGCTGGACATCTCCAGCACTGCAGAGTTTAAAACTCCCTCCTGGCCAATCTCCAACGCGGGAAGAATTGAGTTTAAATTTGAACAGGATCGTGGACCGGAATGCCGCTATTCCAAATATTCGTTTACTCACTGCACTCTGGTGAGTACCCATCTATAAGGGGGCTGCTGACTAAACCGAAAAAAAAATCCACTACTATCTGCCTTGTGTTTTCTTTTCTGACTTCTTGAACATTGTTTTTCCCCATCCTTTGAGGTCTTCTCTGCAAGATTATTTGTTTTTCGTTTTTTGATGTAGTTTTTCTGATATATTTTTTTCTGATACCTTTTTCTGCAAGATTACCGTTAATAGATCTATTTAGATCGATAAAAACATTTTCACTTTGTTGCATTTGCAATCAGAACTTTTTGATACAGATCACTGATTGACAAACTTTTATTATTATTTGTTTTACTTGAGATCAATTTAATTTGTCACAACTTTTTTTCCACATATGTGCTACCTTTATTTTTGTGACACAATTTAACTCTAGATATTCATTGTTATCTCACACTTTAATTGTAAATTTTTTCTTTAGTTTGTTCCATTTGCTATATAACAAATGATGTTGGGTTCGGCTTAACTCTTTATAAGCTGTGTTAAACACGCTTCTTTTCTACTCACTTTTTTATGTGAACACTTGATTTAATTAATTTATTTAATGTAATCACGGATTACACGATTACACTTTTAACCAATTTAATTAACTTAACCTTCAGCGCTGTGACACAACTTTTTTATCTGGTTGTATGATATTTTTAGTAGGGTTTCACCGATACGCATACTAGTATCTGTATCGGTGCTGATACCCAGTATTTGGGTGAGTACTCATACTCGCCCCAAATGCTCCCAAAGCCTATCCCAATACTGGAACATCCTTAATCAGGAAACCGAGCGGCGAGTCATCACACGCTATCGGCTTCATGATTGGCTGGGAAGCCGGCTCCATGCTCCCTCATCACCAGGGAGCATGGAGCTGGCGTCCTGGCCTATCAGGAAGCCAGGGGCTGGGTAACAACTTGCCCCCCTCCCCCCCCCCCCCCGGCTTTCTGATTGGGCAAAAAGCCAGCTCCATGCTTCTTCGTCACCTAGTGAGGAGGGAGCATGAAGACGGCTTCCCGGCTAATCGTGAAGTCAGGCGGCAAATCATTACACACCGCCCGGCTTCCTGGCTAATCAGGAAGCCAGGTGGCGAGTCATTACACGCCGCCCGGCTTCCTTAATGGGACTTTCAGTATTGGCAATTACCAAAAAAAAGATATCAGTACTCGATACGGAAAAAACTGTATCGGTGCATCCCTAATTTTTAGTTTAGAAGTGTAATGCAGTATTTAAGTTAGTTTGCCATAAAAACTGAGACATTTATTTCACCTTGGGCACCTGGACAATCATAATTCATACAGAAAATTTTATTTTTAGCATATTAATCTGATGCTGACATAACTAACCATTTGGGACCGCAGTTCTGCTTCCAAACTTTGTATCTGTTGCTTGATTTCTGAGTTACATTCAGTAAGATCCATGACCTGCTTTCTCAGTAAATCCTTCTCTGCCAGGAAAAGGGAAATCTCACCTTGAACCATGTCACGAGCTCTGTATGCCTGTAGCAAGAGTACAAAAGCAAAATTGCAAATTGTGTGAGATCTAGATCAGCTTGGTTACAGCCCAACTGCAGCTAAACTTTTTATTTGATTTTGGATAGAGAAGGGATGTAGGGCTAGAACCCTTGTAAGGGTTTAAATGCTGTCTGCATCTCCACTGAAGAAATGTTCCCTTAGTAGTAGTTTGTAACATGCAACTTTACTTGTTCTGTAATGTTGAAGACATTTTGCAGCTTATCCACTTCTATTGAGTGTCAAGAACATACCCCAGCACCCGACACAGCCACACAGGTAACTGCCACATTATTCCAATCATCATGGAATGTGTCATGGCAGATGCTGATTGAGATACCTGTGTGGCTATGTGCCATAAATGCTAGGGCATATTCCTGACACTAATTAGAACTGGATTGGCTAAGCTGTGAAATATCTACATTAGAGAACATGTTCTGTTGAATGTGACTTAACTACTACTAGCTAATACCATGACCATAGTTAATGAGAGTATTCACAGACAAATTTTGCCTTTTACTTTCTATATTGTTTGACAGCCATCATCTGAACAGGTAGGGAGTTAAATACTCCCTAATGGGGACACAAAATCCTGACAGTGGGTCTAAACTTTCCTCAATCTACTAGCATATTTTTCTATTGCAGTCTGTGTCCCTGCTGAAAGCGATTTTTCCCCTCACCTTCTGTTCTTTCTGGCAGAGAGAAATCGCCCAAACATTGACATAGATAGAAATAACCTCACAAAGGTATACATTTTCCCCATCCTATCAAACAGCATTTTGAAAAGTTTGGCCTTTAGGCAGCAGTGCATGCACATGATACAGTTGATGCAGTGCATCATTCTCAAATGATCCTTTGTAGGGCCATTGTGGAAAATTGTCACTATCTACAAAATACATGTGTTCATTAAGTTGGCTAAAGTAGCAGCACAAGCAAATAGCTGAGATCATACATTGTCTGCACTTACATTGTATTTTACACTCTATACAGACTACTATTTATAGCAACTTTTGCTATTTGGATAATTGGAGACACCCCCCATTGTGGCAATCCCTGTGTATGTCGATCGGCCGATCAATAATCAGACCTTAGCACTGATTTTTAGCTGCTTGCAGATTGCGCATTTGACTCGTTTCATCACAACTTTAACACCCTACAATCCTGTTTTAGCACAAGTTAGACAAAACGTTACTAAGCAATAAAATATGTCCACATTCCCTGTCCTCCAATGCTCTAAAGGCACATACAGTCCAATGCATAAATAATTAACACACTGCAGGGCTTAACTGCTCATTTTTTGTCTAGCTGCTAAAAAAAAGTTATTCTCATCTGAACCACAGAGCAAACTTGTTTTTAGACCAGTCTTTCCAGCCTCTCTCCCCCACTTCTGCAGAGGTCTAAGGTCCCATAAATCATCCCATTCTATACACAGTGTACAGATGTGAGGACACGGAGGAACATTCTAATGCTGCAGTGTGGGAGGAGACACACTTCAGAGACCAGAGAAGCAGTGAGCCGTCTCAGCTTTTGGGTAATAGGATATTAATGAGGATAACTTTTTTTTTTTTTTTTAGCACCTAGAAAAAAATTAGCAGTTAACTCTTGCCGTGCGGGGGTAGCCCCACTGCACGGGTTAATAAGTTGCTCAGAGTTCTTCTTTAAGCATTTTCTTTAACACGCTTGCACCAAATTTCAGCTGTGCTATCATTTATTGCTAAAATCTGTCTAGTAGATGAAAGCTCAACATTAAAGAGTTATTCGGCATCAGGGAGTAAAAATCAAATCATCCAATTAGAAACAGCTAAAGCCTTATACATATGTGTGGGCACCTGGTCACGCTCTTTTTGCAGGTCGGACACTTGATTATGAAATGCTTCTGTCTTTTTTTTCAAGATATCATAGTTAGACTGCAAGTGACGACTCTCCTGAAGCATGGTCTCCTTTTCCTTCTGCCACTGCAAAACAAACCACATTGCAAATGTCAAAGTGCACACCCTATCAAATAAAAACATTTTTGTTTACAGAGTCCAAAGTCTAAGCTACTACCCTAACAGCGTTACACAATTTACATTTTGTTCAAGGTAGTAGCTCAAAATATTTTTCTCTGACTATCTCAACAAATTTGTTTCTGCACCCAGCCCTCACCTCTGCAAGTACACATACGAACTTAGAGCTGAACCTCAGAATAAAAAACAATATTGGCTAAATATGAAAGCCATGTGTATTCTTATGTAGCGCTCACCCCCGAAGGAGCCGCTGAATATTGCAATAGGTTCTCCTACCTGTTGGTTCCAGCTGCCAGTCCCCTTTGATCAGCAACAGCACACCGACACTCACGGACAGAACGGCTCGAGTCTTAGGGTCTTTTTAGGGTATTTATTTGCAACATCAATAGGAGAGAGAGGGTTTAGGGTCTGTAGGATGCCATAGGAAATACTTCGGAGGACAGCTGTCTCTCTTAGCAACTGCTAATGCTGATATCGCTGTGATCTGGCCCCAAGGACCAATAGTAGTAGTAATACTGTGAACAGATACCTGGAATGGGTGAGGGCTCTCCCTTGTGGGTCCCAGACGGACGCTTGCACCAGCTCCTCTGCGGTACCCCTCAACAAGCGTACTCCTCCTCTGACCCAGCTTCCATCAGGTATTTTCCTCTTTAGGATCTGGAACTTCTGTGCCCTCAGCATCTGCAACTGCCAAGGAGCACTCCAGTTAAATGAGAGTATCTTCTTAGAACAAGGCACCCAACACCTGCCACGTGTATGGGCCCAGTGAAGTATCAGTGTATCCTTAGGCCTCCAGGCCCCTCAGCACCTGCCATGTGCTGAGGCCCAGGCTATTTGCTCTGCATCACACACAGTCCTCCTAGGGCAAGGCCCCTAGGGGGAAGAGAGCTCTCCACAATGTCCCCAGACCTTTTATTACCTGCCCTCAACCATGCCTCTGAGTCATCCTACTCAGGGATTGGCTAGGGCCAGGTGCATAGTCATAACCTGAGGATGGATCCTCCCTCACTGTATACCAAGGCTCCCTTTTCCTCAGCAACAGGAGGAGCAATCGATCCAGCAGACTCAGGGACACCTATAGAATGCAGAGCTCTGTATAATCAGTATCTAGACTGGTTACAGTCCAGGTATCTCTAAATTGAATAGCGACATTTTAGAGGGCGCTACACTTACTTCAATTGATGTTCTTTGTGTATTTCCAGTACAAACAAAACTTTGCCTCTGTGCATGAGCTTCCTGTATTAATGACTGGTCAGTGCTGTTCTCTCTCCTTGTGCAGGGTGGCTGGTCTTGTAGCCACCCCTCGGTAGTTGTCTGCAGGCAGCCTGTAGTTGGTGGAGTCTACAGGGTCCCACACACAACTCTGCTAACTGTACAGGCTATGTGCAGCCCAGTAACCGTGTTATGGCTACATTTATATGGCAATAACTGGCTTTGCATAGGTGTTTGGTGAACACAAAGTAGATTTCTATCCTCTGTTGCTATTGAAGAATATATTTAAATAAAGTTTTTGTGCAGAGAGTGCTGTGTGATACTCTGTCACAGACCTTCCACTGCCTTTCCCAGTTTGTGAACGTCATAGCAGTTACTGTAATCTCTTGGGCACATCAAAAAAACTGGGAGACATTTAATCCCTTTCCTACAAAGACCCGAATCCTCTTCACCACAATTTTCCAACAGGAACAAAACGCAAACCTTTTTTTGCACATATACAGTATTTAAATATATAAGCTGCTGTTAGGAACTGCACTTCATATATCTGAATTGAGGTGTGTTGGTGTGCAGTAGTCTGAGTTTCTCACCTCTCCCACTCTGTTGAAGATTTTTCAATTACTTGTTTATTTTGCATCCTGTAAAATCCATGGATGAACTATGAGACCCCTATGACATACTTTTAATGGTTACAGAGATGGGGGTATATGACTTATAGATTCTCTGATAAATATAAGATGCAAGCAGCCAGACAATGCTGAAATATTTAAAATGGAATACTACCTACACTATGGGGAGTGTATTAAACAAATTGTTGGGAGCTCCACTAGGGAAGTCACAAATGGAAAAAGATCTGGGGGTGATAGTAGACCCCAGATTAAATAACAGCTTGCAATGCCAGGCCGTGGTAAACAAAGCGAGCAGAGTACTGTCTTGTATTAAACATGGAATGTACTGCAGAGACAAGGCTATAATTTTGCCACTTTATAGATCGCTGGTTTAGCCATATTTGCTAAGCGGTCCAGTTTTGGTCACCTATCCACAGAAGGGATGTCCTTAAACTTGGGGGAGCCCAGAGGAGGGCAACCAAACTAATTAAGGGGATGGAGGACCAATGCTATGAAACAAGGTTACTAAATTTAAACATGTTCACGCTGGAGGTGAGGAGATTAAGGGGGATATGATTTTCTTGTACAAAATGTTCAATGGAAATAGCAACATCAGCCATAAACTCTTTACTTTAACCTCCATAAAAAAGACTAGAGGCCACCACCTAAAACTAGTAGAGAAAAAATGTAATCACAAGGGGCGTAGGGGCTTCCTCACAGTTAGAGCGGTCAGGGTATGGAACTCGCTGCCTCAAGCAGTGATTTCAGCTAAGAGTGTTGCATCGTTCAAAAAGCATTTGACGATTTCCTCAGAGACTGCAACATACAGGGGTACAGGTACTCTTAAGAAGAGGATGACACAGGGACTCATACACACTCATACAAATGCAGATTCACATGCATACACGCTATAGGTTGGACTTGATGGACCCGTGTCTTTTTTCAACCTCAAATACTATGTAACCCCCGATGACACATTTTTGGTAATATTGGTTACTTATTCCTTCTAGACAAAAATAACAGATCATCCTTCTATCTTCAGGTACAAAATGGAAGTAGAGTATTGCAGAGGTCAGCGGTGTGGCTCGTAAAGAACAGGGACTTATAGTGCGCACAGTTAATCTGATGTCTTAATTCAGGTGCTCTGCAGCCGTGTCTTCTTCCTCTCCGGGTGGTGGTGGGGGGGGGGGTTTAGCAGCCATGTTTCTTTCATGTTCAGTGGGAATGCCTTTAGCCCAGCATGATGCCTCCAGTTGCCTCCTTGTTTCCTCACTTCAGGACCCACTCTCTTGCTCTCAACTGGCCAATGGTAGTGCTGCAGTGTAATATTCCAGCAAGCGTATGTGAATGATGGATCACAACTGCGGAGTAGGCCTGGGGATGGTTCAGGTTCTCTTTCACACTCTATTGAGTTGAGTGAGGTTGGAACCCCTAACACATCATACACCACCACAGTTATGCAAATGAAAAGAGAGGTCTGTAATCTCCCTGTGGCCTCAATTGGAGTTCATTGGGGCATGTTGGGGGTCTGTAGATTGGTTAGCAATAGTTAATCTCACTAGTGCTTAAAGTATAAGTAAGTACAAGCTGGTGTGGCAGTGCGGATTACTGCAATCGATGGTTTAATGTCCTATAGCAACTTAGGACCAAGGGAACAGGCAGGCAATAGCTACTATCAATTCAAGAATGTTATCGTACCCTTCTGCAATGGAGACACACCTGCTATACTCATGAATTCTATGTTCAAAGTTCTCAGTCCAATATAAATGTGCAGAGTGGTGAACAGTCCTCAGCAAGGTTACCGTTTCTTTAAACAATGGAATACAATGCAGATGAAACACGTATAGAATGTGATGGGAGTACTTGCGGTTCCTGTGAACTCAGGATGAGCCGTAGTCTGCTCAAGGATAGCTGTGCACTGAGGTTGTAGCCGCCTGTCTCGCAACCCTCAGCTGGGGAACTACAAGGTCCAGGATGTCGAGTGGTGATTACAGCTAGTTTGCTTGCTCGACGTTCTACCTCGCTAGAACGCCGAGCAAGTGAATAGCCTACGTTTTTGTAGGCGGAGAGCGGTGTGCTGGGGGCGGAGCCGCGAGCTGAGGCCGACCCGAACGTTTCCTAGCTACGGGACACCACTGAGGGCCAGACCTGCTGCAGATCTTATCAAAAGGTGCATCTGACAGCGGCGTGAGGAGGGAGGAGCCGTGAGCTGAGGTCGGCCTGCACGTTGTCTAGCTACCAGATGCCGCTGAAGGGGCCGGACCCGCTGCAGAGTTCGGTGAGGTTTAAGTCCCTGACATACAGTCTCCCTCCCAGCCCATAGCAATTGAAGTGGGCGGAGGAAGATGCAGGTGGCCGCTGAGAAGTGCGATCAATGAAGTGGGCAGATAGCAAAGGCAGCCAAACCGATTCTCCTCCTGCCAGTGCAGCTACAAAGCCGTTTTTAACCCCTTAAGGACCAAGGCCTTTTTTTCCCGCTTACAAGTTAAAATATACATTTTAGGCCTGAAAATTACTTAAAACCACCAAACATATGAAAGCCAAGACCCTGTAGAATAAAATGGTAGCAGGTGCAAATTGTTATGTTGCACGACATTAGCGCAACTTATTATCAAACCCAAAAGTTTTGTGAAAGATGCACTTAAGTTAAATTTGGTGCCCCACAACACTATATAAAACTTTTTTTTTTCTTAATAAAAAACAAAAGATCAGGTTACAACGAGTAAATAGATACCCATGTTAAAAACTGTGTGCGTCTGTGAAACTGCAACAAATTTCAGTACCCCAAAAAGTCCATATATGACACTTTAAAAGCCCAACAGGTCATCAGTTTAGAGATACGTGTAAATTTTGGCCCTAGAATTATTGCTCTCTGGCATGTGGGGCAATACCCAGCATGTGCAGCGCAATAGTAGTTTTCGTACGTAGGTGCACCAGACGCAAGTTTACACATGCTCTCGGGGGCCTTTAAAAAAAGTTTTTTTAATTAGTTTAACATTTATTTTATTTAAAATTATTTTTAAAACTTTTTTTAACTTTAATTGTTTTCACATAGGTGGGCTTACAGGCCCCCCATGTAATAGCATATTGGTAGTGCCAGGTACTCTTTAAGATGACACTGTGGGTCTAAAAGACCCATAGTGTCACCTTTCCACTCTAAATGGAAATGCATTGCACGTTGCTCTCGGTCCCATAGAACGGGGAGGTGTGTGAAGGGTGAACGGACACCCGCGATGCCGGTCCTGGGTCCGCAGGAGGGGCAATGAAGCCCAGGAAACACAGCAGGGGGTGTTGGAGGGAGGGAGGTTTCCCCAAATTGTAGAAGCGATTTGGGGAAAGCTGAGTCATCAGAATCGCTTCGACTGTGGGTTGTGAAGGGGTTAAGGGGTCCCCTGGCCCAGTCTGCCCCTGCCTACAATCCTGGGACTTCAATAGGCCCTTCCCAACCTTGCGCCCTGGGGCAGCTGAACCAACTGCGCCGTCGATAGGTCCACCCCTGGGCAAACGGTATGTAAACTGTTCCTGCTTTTAACAGGAAAGTATATTTCCATACTATGATATCCTGGAAGGTTGAAGTAATTGTTTTACCTGACCGCAAGATAGATGGTTGCTTACCATAATTTCAAATGCCTCTCCAGCTTCTATCTTCTTTTTGGCAGCACTAAGCTGAGCTAATAACTCTTCAGAACTTGGCAAAACCCCATCTGAGCACTGCTTTATATCCAGCTCTGCCTGCAAGCATAAATATGGGTAAAGAAATTAAGAATTAAAGTATATGTAATGACGTTTGGTTTGCTAAAACTGTGTATCAAGTAATTGCCCCTTTTTAAAATTTGATTGAACCCCTTTTTCATTTTTTGGTAATCATCAGTACTGATTATTCCTTGCAGCCATTTCCTGTCTACATGCAGCTGCATGGGATTTCTGATGGGGGTGGATTTCATGATGGTGGACCATGTCTGTGTAATGTGTGTTAAAACAGCCACTGGTAGTCGCCACTGAAAGCCTGTGTGTCATCCTACCATGAATAGATCTTCATGACAGGATCATCAGGTATTTTATTGAAAGCTGCAGATTTAAAAAAATGACTTCTGGTATCACAAAAATACACTGCCTGGCCACAAAAAGGCACACTTTTTTTTTTTCTTTGGACCACCTTTAGTTTTGATCACGGCATGCATTCACAGTGGCATCATTTCAATAAGCTTATGCAATGTCACAACATTTATTTCCATCCACAGTTGCATTAATTTCTCACTAATATTTTGTAGTGATGAGAGAGTCGGACTACGGCGTAAAGTCTTCTCCAGAACATCCCAAAGATTCTCAAGGGGGTTAAGATCTGGACTCTGTGGTGGCCAATCCATGTGTGAAAATGATGTCTCATGCTCCCTGAACCACTCTTTCACAATTTATCTTGGAATATACCCTTGTCATCAGGGGAAAAAAAATCCATTGATGGAAAAACCTGGTCATTATATACTAATCGGGTAGACAGCTGACCTCATTTTGTGCCGTGTGTTGGTTCTGGTCTGTGCTCTGCCATGCGTTGCACTCTGTGCATTGGTTCTGGTCTGCGCTCTGCCGTGCGTTGGTTTTGTCACGCTCTGCCGTGCGTTGGTTCTGGTCTGCGCTCTGCCATGTGTTGGTCTGTGCTCTGCCATGTGTTTATGCTGGTCTGAGGTCTGCCGTCTATTTGTGGTGGTCTGAGGTTGGCCGTGTGTTGGTTTTGGTCTGAGGTTGGCCGTGTGTTGGTTTTGGTCTGAGGTCGGCCGTGTGTTGGTTTTGGTCTGAGGTCGGCCGTGTGTTGGTTTTGGTCTGAGGTCTGCCATACGTATGCAGGTGGCCGCTGAGAAGTGCGATCAATGAAGTGGGCAGATAGCAAAGGCAGCCAAACCGATTCTCCTCCTGCCAGTGCAGCTACAAAGCCGTTTTTAACCCCTTAAGGACCAAGGCCTTTTTTTCCCGCTTACAAGTTAAAATATACATTTTAGGCCTGAAAATTACTTAAAACCACCAAACATATGAAAGCCAAGACCCTGTAGAATAAAATGGTAGCAGGTGCAAATTGTTATGTTGCACGACATTAGCGCAACTTATTATCAAACCCAAAAGTTTTGTGAAAGATGCACTTAAGTTAAATTTGGTGCCCCACAACACTATATAAAACTTTTTTTTTTCTTAATAAAAAACAAAAGATCAGGTTACAACGAGTAAATAGATACCCATGTTAAAAACTGTGTGCGTCTGTGAAACTGCAACAAATTTCAGTACCCCAAAAAGTCCATATATGACACTTTAAAAGCCCAACAGGTCATCAGTTTAGAGATACGTGTAAATTTTGGCCCTAGAATTATTGCTCTCTGGCATGTGGGGCAATACCCAGCATGTGCAGCGCAATAGTAGTTTTCGTACGTAGGTGCACCAGACGCAAGTTTACACATGCTCTCGGGGGCCTTTAAAAAAAGTTTTTTTAATTAGTTTAACATTTATTTTATTTAAAATTATTTTTAAAACTTTTTTTAACTTTAATTGTTTTCACATAGGTGGGCTTACAGGCCCCCCATGTAATAGCATATTGGTAGTGCCAGGTACTCTTTAAGATGACACTGTGGGTCTAAAAGACCCATAGTGTCACCTTTCCACTCTAAATGGAAATGCATTGCACGTTGCTCTCGGTCCCATAGAACGGGGAGGTGTGTGAAGGGTGAACGGACACCCGCGATGCCGGTCCTGGGTCCGCAGGAGGGGCAATGAAGCCCAGGAAACACAGCAGGGGGTGTTGGAGGGAGGGAGGTTTCCCCAAATTGTAGAAGCGATTTGGGGAAAGCTGAGTCATCAGAATCGCTTCGACTGTGGGTTGTGAAGGGGTTAAGGGGTCCCCTGGCCCAGTCTGCCCCTGCCTACAATCCTGGGACTTCAATAGGCCCTTCCCAACCTTGCGCCCTGGGGCAGCTGAACCAACTGCGCCGTCGATAGGTCCACCCCTGGGCAAACGGTATGTAAACTGTTCCTGCTTTTAACAGGAAAGTATATTTCCATACTATGATATCCTGGAAGGTTGAAGTAATTGTTTTACCTGACCGCAAGATAGATGGTTGCTTACCATAATTTCAAATGCCTCTCCAGCTTCTATCTTCTTTTTGGCAGCACTAAGCTGAGCTAATAACTCTTCAGAACTTGGCAAAACCCCATCTGAGCACTGCTTTATATCCAGCTCTGCCTGCAAGCATAAATATGGGTAAAGAAATTAAGAATTAAAGTATATGTAATGACGTTTGGTTTGCTAAAACTGTGTATCAAGTAATTGCCCCTTTTTAAAATTTGATTGAACCCCTTTTTCATTTTTTGGTAATCATCAGTACTGATTATTCCTTGCAGCCATTTCCTGTCTACATGCAGCTGCATGGGATTTCTGATGGGGGTGGATTTCATGATGGTGGACCATGTCTGTGTAATGTGTGTTAAAACAGCCACTGGTAGTCGCCACTGAAAGCCTGTGTGTCATCCTACCATGAATAGATCTTCATGACAGGATCATCAGGTATTTTATTGAAAGCTGCAGATTTAAAAAAATGACTTCTGGTATCACAAAAATACACTGCCTGGCCACAAAAAGGCACACTTTTTTTTTTTCTTTGGACCACCTTTAGTTTTGATCACGGCATGCATTCACAGTGGCATCATTTCAATAAGCTTATGCAATGTCACAACATTTATTTCCATCCACAGTTGCATTAATTTCTCACTAATATTTTGTAGTGATGAGAGAGTCGGACTACGGCGTAAAGTCTTCTCCAGAACATCCCAAAGATTCTCAAGGGGGTTAAGATCTGGACTCTGTGGTGGCCAATCCATGTGTGAAAATGATGTCTCATGCTCCCTGAACCACTCTTTCACAATTTATCTTGGAATATACCCTTGTCATCAGGGGAAAAAAAATCCATTGATGGAAAAACCTGGTCATTATATACTAATCGGGTAGACAGCTGACCTCATTTTGTGCCGTGTGTTGGTTCTGGTCTGTGCTCTGCCATGCGTTGCACTCTGTGCATTGGTTCTGGTCTGCGCTCTGCCGTGCGTTGGTTTTGTCACGCTTCCTCCTGGGACAGGCGTGCATGGCGCATGGACGTGTACGCCCAGTGTGAGTGAGGCCTTATGTGTTGTGTGTTTACTTTGTGTGTTTTGTGTCTGTGGTGTGCCGTGTGTTGGTTTTGGTCTGAGGTTGGCCGTGTGTTGGTTTTGGTCTGAGGTCGGCCGTGTGTTGGTTTTGGTCTGAGGTCGGCCGTGTGTTGGTTTTGGTCTGAGGTCTGCCATACGTTTGGTTCTGGTCTGTGCTCTGCCATGTGTTGGTTCTGATCTGCCTTGCATTGGTTCTAGTCTGAGGTCTGCCATGCGTTGGTTCTGGTCTGAGGTCTGCCGTGCATTGGTTCTGGTCTGAGCTCTGCCGTGCGTTGGGTCTGATCTGCACTCTGCCGTGCGTTCGGTCTGATCTGCACTCTGCCGTGCGTTGGGTCTGATCTGCACTCTGCCGTGCGTTGGGTCTGCTCTGAGGTCTGCTGTGCGTTTGGTTCTGGTCTGAGGTCTGCTGTAAATCTGAACATGTTTTATATGCACCAGTTATTCTGTATTTTCACTTATAGTTGTGCTGCTAGTTGGTAGGTAAACACATTAAAATAATTTGTGAGTTGAACTTTCTATTAGCACTACAACTATGAGTATAAAAATGTAAATTGAACTAACACTAAGCGCGCGAAAACGACAATTGCACTACACATGTTATGTATCGCCGCGAATGTCGGAGTAAGGGCAATCATTTTAGTGCCATCAATCACTTCTACACTTCTATTTAACCATTTAGTGAATGGGTAGGGATACAAGTACCCCTCACTCATTTACAAGGGGAGGGGCTGCATCTGGGTGCCCCTTTATTAAATGGGTACCCTGATGTGAAGCCCCCTTGCCAGCATGGGGACAAGGTGCTTTTCCAGGGGCGACCCTGGAAAAGCACTCTCCCAGTGCTGAGGGCATGTGGCCTGGTATGGGAGGGAGGGGGGCGCTCGCTCGTCCCTCCCTTTTCCGGCCCTGCCAGGTCTATGCTCGGATCAAGGGCCTGGTATGGATTTTTAGGGGGGACCCCATGTTTTTTCCCCCCATTTTGAGGATGGGCTTCTTCCTTTAAAATTCCTACCAGACCTTAAGGGCCTGGTATGACTTTAAGGGGGAATCCCACACATCATTTTTATTTTTTTTTTACATTTAGGGTCTGGTATGACTTTGAGGGCGAACCCCACACACTTTTATTCGTTTTATACGGGCTCCCTCCTAAATATTCCTTCCAGACCTTAAGGGTCTGGTATTGTTTGGGAGGGGCAACTGCACGCTTTAAGAATAAACAAAAAAAATGTCATGTTTTTTTCTTTAGAAATGTCAGTTTTTTTTTTTTTAATAATGGAATTTTATTCATTTTCGAAAGGTATACAGACATACAACGAAACGTATACACTGAACACAATTACATGACCATCAGACGTGTTCAGGCTCAACCCTTCTATGCCCTATAGTCCACGGGCCAACTGCAGACCATTGTGCATACTTATACCAAGTTTGACCATATCACTAGGCGTTGCCCAGCGTATGAGAATGATCCAAGCGCATGTTCAGGTCGAGGCTTGGCAATGAGCCTGTATAAAATAACATATAGAGCATAACTTATAAAGACAGTTCCCTTTCAGGGACTCGGTCGCAAACTTGTACTAGAGAGCATTGCCATGGCCCAGAGGTCCGGTGGTCCAAAAAAAACCTACGAGAGGAAGACAGAAGAAGTGGTAGGGAGAAAGGAATAGGGGAAGTTGAAGAAAAGAGGAGAGCCTAGTGAAAGCATAGGAATGAAAAAGAAGCTAGGTGAAAAGGACCTGTACAGAGAAGAAAAGAAAAGCAGACAAAGGCCAGGCACGATATTTAAAGGAATTTTTCAATGTTATTGTTACCGATTAAGTGATGTTAAAACCACTGCCCCTTTAAAAATTGTATTTTGTAAAAGTTTTTTTTTTCATTGATTCCTGTCCCCCAGGGCAGTACCCAGTCCCCATAAACTTTTTAAGGCCAATAACTTGCATATAAGCCCTCCTAAAGGGGACAATTGTTTTTGAAAGTTCTACCCCCATTGACTTGCATTGAGTTTAAGTTCAAACTTTTTGGATGTTCTAAAGTTTGAATTCGAACCAAACTTGGGCCTGTTCGGCCCATCACTAATCTCAAGAAGCCACAGATGGATGTACAGTAGGGTTGCCACCTTTTCTTCAAGCGAAACTCGAACACTGTAGCGCCTTGAGGCAATGTTTTTGTAAAGTATACACTACATGTATTTTGTAAATAAATAACATTAGAGTTAATCACAACTTGCCAGTGTGCCACAGGTCTCCAGATATATACTATATAAAGCAATATCCATATACCTTGCCGCACTCATTACCCGATATCCCAAAAGTAACGTGTGCTTGTAATGACTGCGGATGGCGCTGCTCACAACAGAACTCCAATACAGATGTCACCAGCACCAAAATTCCATGTTAGTGCAAATTAGGGATGCACCGATACTAGAGGTGCACCGAAATGAAGATTTCAAAAATGAAACCGAAATAAATAAAAAATGTCAGATCGAAACCGAAGATGTTTTTTATTTTACCTTTTTCGAATTTTTAAAAATATTTTATTTGTATTTATTTTTTATAAACTTTTA